ACCCGTCTGTTCGTTACTTTCCGTTTCTACTTAATGCTAGCATCAATGCAGGCGTCTCAGACAGAGTTGGGCTGAATGTAATCTAATTACAAAATCCAAATCACAATTACAACTGTAAGACAATTGCATTGTAATTAACTATAGTAAATTTCCAATAAAAATCTCAATTGTATTGTAATCAACTCTACTAAATTTACAATAAAAATTACAATGTAATTGTAATTGTAATTGTAATTTAGTGTATGCGCAATTACATTGTAATTGCAATTTATATTTTGTAATTAGATTAAGTTTTACCCAATTCTGGTCTCAGATGAATTTTCAAGTACGATTTTCCTGGAAGTCCAAGCCTCTAAGATTTATTTTTACATAAAAAATCACCTCCTGTCCACTTGTATAGACATAGATAAATACACAAAAAAAGGATAAAAATGAAGTTGGATTTTTGTTAAATAGACGTAAAAGAATTTGGAATGTGAAACGAAATAGAACTACTTTTTGAATGAGTAAGCTTATATGACATATGATATTCAGATTAGTTTAATGGAAACAGAGCTACTTTGAATATAGCGAAACCTGTAACAGATAGGGGAAACACCTGTTTGAATCCTACTTTCATAAATTAATCTGTGAAAGTATACATTTGCATAATGATACGAAGTCCAGCAACGAGAATTAAGATTCTGCGTGCCCATTGGCGATGCTAAACAAGCTCTTACGACGTCTTAGTCACGTGTAATCGTGTTATACAGAACGCTATGCAAATCAGGTTTCAGTCTATTAGTCGCAGAATGAATATTACTGTTGCTACTTTCATATTATCTCGTTTGATGAATCTCATTTGAATTCACGGCAGAAATGAAGAAACGACAATTTCTGTGTCACCAGTTCGATGAATACCGGAGACTTTTTCCCTTAAAACAGATTCCAAACATCAGCCCAAATATCATCCTATGAAAAAAAACACAATTTGATTCATCTAAGCAATCAACGTGCCTTTATTTATACCGTTACATTCAATCAAGTAAGATAATTTATTACAATTTACTAATTACAAGTTCCACAATTCAATAAATTTCAAATAATTCCAAGTGTATGCAAAAGTAATAGCCGTTTCTCCATCGAAAAAACTTTACTAATATCGAACAATTATTTCTGAAAATATTAGGTGTACAAATCAGTAATCCACTATTTTTTGACGAAATCTGTATTAGTTTTGTATAATCAAGGATTAGATGACTACTTCTATTTGATTTCTGTTTGATTACTTCTGTTTGATACTGTTTGATTTCTCAACACCCTACATCATTGTTACTCGGTGAAAGTTAAGGAAAATATTTTTAATTTAGAATACATCGTGTCATAATTTTTAATTCCCCTCATTTTCTACACGTTTCTACCATTTTACTCTCTAAAACTAAATTCCCAGTAAGTAAAATAAAATTACAGAATCCACACACCTGCGTAAACCTGATAATCAATTAAAACCCATATCTACTTCACAGTCGCTATAAAAAATCATTCCAATAAACGAGCTACTCGAGTGTATCTCGTGTTCATCCGGAACCAAGAACAACGACTGTCTCCGAAGACTAACTGCAGGGTACTCGAGTGTGAAAAAAAAAAGTACCATTTAGCTTGTTTCTTTGGCTACAACCGATGAATCAGCGGCATTCAAGGCTCCGTAGACTTAAAAGATTCACGGGCGAGCATCAAGTATATATGTATATAAACTATAAAATCTGCACTCGATCGGATACACAAGTACTCGAGTGAATATCTTCTTTATCCGGTCCTGAGTCGCTGTTCGACCGTGACTCACGGCATAACTTCGCACTTACGACTTGCAACGCGCGATGCTCGAGGTTACGATAACGTTTTCATCTAATTTTTACAGTTTCACCGACGTGCATTCATCGAGATCGTGCTGTGACTCTGCCCCGAGGCGTTAAATTACGATCTTTCGAGCACGTACGAGACAACGTTAGTGAAGATTTACAATTAATCTTATTTAACGAAACCTAACACTCAACGTTAAATTGTATTTTTTTTTTACACGTTGGCTCTACCAGCGGCGTGTACGTGTGACGCTCGATTTTCTGAGTCAACGTACTTTATTTGATAAAAGCAGCATGAATTTTTCAATGTTCGCCTATATTTGACATTATTTGTTATCTCTTTTTTGTATCGTTTTAAGTCAGTGTAACTTTGAAGTCACGTACCTGTTTTGCCATTATTAACATTAGAATTAGAGACGATAAACGTGTATCTGTCTATTAGATAGATAAACATGACAAACTTTTACAAATTTAGAAATTAATTCATTTCTTCGTCTTTATGTTGGAATGAATGTTGTGAAAGATCCGAGGAAATGTAATTGTTGTAAGATTTTAATCATCGTTAGAAGGGAGTAACAAGTCATTTTGACTGCTTTGGTAGTTCTAGTGTCAAACAAATGAGAAAGCTCTTTTGAAGAGAAAAAAGAACTAAATGTTAGAGTTGTGTAAGCCAAGTGGAATGAAACGTAGCATCTCCTTTTAAATTAATAAGAACGGAAATAAACATTTGGGCAGCAACGTTGTAAAGTGATCGCGCTTATGCTGGACCCAAGAGAATTTACATAAAACATTGAAAATTGAAAGTTTAAGTCCTATATGCTCTACTAGTCAGTAGTGAACAATATATGCAAATGAAGAAAAATTGTGAATATCGAAAATTAATTTGGTTGACAAAGGGTTAATGCCTAATCAAGAATGTAAGAACGTTCCACTGTAGAAAATGATAGAGACCTGATTTCAGTTTCAAGTTTTTCAATGATGGACATTAGTTTCAAAATAATGCACCAGAATTCACTGACTGAATTAAATAAATGAATTAATGATGTAGAATGAAGAGACACACAACGTTCTTAGATACTAATTCTCAGGTCTCTCAGATCGTCAGCCATCGAGTGCAGTAGATCGTCATTATTACGTTTAATTCGGGCAGCATGTGAAGTACAGATTATCTTTTTAAGGCTGACTCAGCTTTTATATCGAGCTCGAAACGACGCACATTCATCATTTAACGCTCCACATTCAGCATCCGTGCCCGATACGAATCTGGTAAAATCGTACGTTCTCGTCGATCATCGATCAATCAGCGATCTACATCTCCACTGATATTAAAATAATTGTAGGGACGTTGGAATATCTCGAGGAACGTTTAATTATGAAAATTCCTGTATTAAAAATTTGTAAAAATTTTAACATTCCACACTAATTTCACGTTGCATCGATCTACATTATGATAATGTGGAATCGTCTTTTAAAAAAGAGTTGAGAATCGAAGCGTTTGGTGACTTTCATAGCTCTGTCGTTACACAAATTTTGATTCCTGTTCAAAAAGGGGAAACTGGGATATCTGAAAATTAGATTTTGCGTTTAAGAAGGGGAAATAAAAATATCTAAAAATGGAAATTCACGTTTAAGAAGGGGAAATTAGGATACACATCTAAATTAAAATTCTCGTTTAAGAAGGGGAAATTAGGATACACATCTTAAAATTAAAATTCTCGTTTAAGAAGGGAAAATAAAAATATCTGAAAATGGAAATTCACGTTTAAGAAGGGAAAATTAGGATACACGGGTATCTGAAAATAAAAATTTGCGTTTAAGAAGGGGAAATTGGGATATGTGAAAATGAAAGTTTACGTTTAAGAAGGGGAAATCAGAACATCTGAAAATGAAAATTACTTTTCTTGGGTGACCTCCACGATCGATGGCTCGATCATCGGACCGGTACATTTCGTGCTTTTTCGAATTACAAGCAGGAAGAACGATGATTCCCAGGGGGGATTGACCTGGCTGATGACGGTCTGTTGCGGTATAATACTGTTATTTAACCACGTCCCGCGAAGGCAATTAATATTCCGGCGAACAGAACGCACGGCGCGTACGTGTTTCCGTTTTCCTTGTCTCTCGTTCGATCGAGAATCAGAAGAAACATTTTTTTTCGACAGCTCAGAGAAACTAGTTTCTGAGAATAGTGTGTGCTCTTCTATCCTAATACATAATAAGAAAGAAAAGTATTTAATTACCATTACCGAAAAGAAACAACAATAACAGAATATAATTAATTACTCAAAAACAGTTAGAGATTCAATTCTAGAAATATTTTCAAACAGATAAACTTAGACATTATAATGATTACAATTTGTGTAAACTGTATGAACTTCCACTGTAGTTTTACAAAATTTTTGTAAATTATTATTATTATTATTAAAATCTTCCATGGTCGACTGATAACAATTGCCAAGAAATGATATTAACACTCTGACAACCACGTCACAATGGTAAGGAATTGATATAATAAAGATATAAATAATTAAATTTGCAAATCTTTTAAAATGAAGGTCATGGAGTCTCGACTAAATTTACCTATACATGACAAAATAACATCATTTCTTAGAAGAAACATTTGTCAATTTGACACAAGGGACGAATAAGGGTTAAAATGTTTAAAGCATACCCATTGTGAAAAACCAACTTTTATATGTTCCCGTTTTACTTTTAAAAAAGTTCTATAAACGTTACTGGGACTTTTTATAGGTATTCGTCCTATAGTTAACACGTTAATATGCCACGAAGTCGATGTAAAAGGAACAGATCCCAGTCTTAACTTTTCGAAATAATAAGGGGTATGAGTCGTTTGTGGACAGACACTTTTTGCCAAGAAACCGATTATCCTCTCTAATGGGCAAAAAACGCAGTGCAGTAGACGACTAATAATATAGCAAAAATGACTAGAGAAATTGACAGAAACTGCTGCTTTGTAACGCGATATCGTTCACCATTCAGAATGTTAATTAGTCAAAGCAACAGCGTCCAAGTTGTTTCTGGATAACTCATCCGAGAAAAACATGAACGTTATATTCTTATTATTGTGGCCTGAGATCATAAAAAAATGTCAACTTTACTTTGTAGAATTTACATTGAATAGATATTGTTTTCCTGTTACAGAACTACCTCTCGCAGTTCGGCTACCTGCAACCGATAAATCCAACAAGTGGCGGTATTATATCCAAGGACGCGTTATCCAAAGCGATCGCCGAATTCCAATCCTTCGCTGGACTGAATATAACAGGTAAATAGCGACATGTTACAAATAACTATTTTCCTAATGGAATTCTCTATTTGAATACTCAATTCTAGTTTTTCAAATTTTTTATAAATCGAAAATAATTGTAATTAGAATGTTTTTCCTCGTCGAGTTAGCACTTTATTGTTGCACTTAAACAGGGAAAAAGAATTGAAAATAGCAAGTTTCAAATTCCACCAAGTAGAATGAAAAGGATTAAACGCCATAATCAACAACGATAAAATCAAAATTTTAAGACTCTGTATCGGATATTATTGATACAAATAAATAATGATTTGTGCGTTCCGCCAGACAAGAAACAGCAAAATTGCACGGATCTGATAGACTTTTTCAGTGGCGCTATTGCATGCTTAAAGGCAACCCTAGATAGAGCACTAAGAACTGTTTAATTTTAGTTAATATTTTATTAAAAATTTCCTATCGCGACTAATTCCATACTGTATAATATATTGTTATGACTGTTTCTGATCTTATTTTCATTAAATGTTATGTATGTATACTAGGTTTATACCCGTTGAATAACTAAATAAATAAATAAATAAAAATAGCATCCATACACTTAAACCGGACATACTGTATAACCGTAGTCAAAGGGTTAAACTCTGGAAGAGAGCTCAGACTTACGGATCTGTCGGACGCAACCACCAATTAAGCTTTATTTACGTCCTTGCGATCGCCTGTGCCCGGTATTATATTTAACTGTAATTGAGTTTAATCGTTCGTGTGGGTGCCCGTTACATGAATCATCCCACTGGACGTATTCATTCATCGTAGTCCGCCGCCCCGGGTCTGTCTCTGACTCACACACCGAGGGCCCCCGTGTGTGTCGCACCAGCATCCACTGGATCGTTCACGATTAAATAGTTCCGAGTTGTATCGACAATCATCACGCACAGCACCGTGCCAGAGTCCGATTCCAAAAGTCGTTTCCCATACGTCAAAAGAGAGGCGCGCGTCATAGGCGTTCGCGTGAACACACGATATTATCGTCGCGGCGTGCGCCGAATCGAACGACAAATTGGCAATCGAATCGACGATCGAATGTAGAATGAAATCGACGATCGAATAAAGAGTCGAATTGACGATTGAATAGAGAATCGAATCGAGGATCAAATCGAGGATCGAATTCAGGATCGAATCGACGATCGAATCGAGAATCGAATTTACGATCGAATTCACAATCAAATTGAGAATCGAATTTACGATCGAATCGAGGATCGAATGAAGAATCGAATGGAGAATCGAATCGAGGATCAAATCGAGGATCGAATTCAGGATCGAATCGACAATCGAATCGAGAATCGAATTTACGATCGAATTCACAATCAAATTGAGAATCGAATTTACGAACGAATCGAGGATCGAATGAAGAATCGAATGGAGAATCGAATCGAGAATCGAATGGAGAATCGAATCGAGGTTCGAATTGACGAGCAAATCGACGATCCAATCGAGAATCCAATTAACGATCGAATTCACAATCAAATCGAGAATCGAATTTACGATCGAATCGAGGATCGAATGAAGAATCGAATGGAGAATCGAATCGAGGATCGAATGGAGAATCGAATCGAGGATCGAATGGAGAATCGAATGGAGAATCGAATCGAGGTTCGAATTGACGAGCAAATCGACGATCCAATCGAGAATCCAATTAACGATCGAATTCACAATCAAATCGAGGATCGAATGAAGAAACGAATGGAGAATCGAATTGAGGATCGAATGGAGAATCAAATAGAAATATACGTGTTCGTTTGAAACATATATGACTGTCCCTTTTTATTTACTTATTTATTTATTTATTTATTTATTTATAAACGGGTTGGCCCCATTGTTTCTATAAATTGTTTACATAAGCAACAGGTCGCAGGATATATAATTAATCTTTTTAGGTTGCTTAAATATAATATATAAGCAAAAGTTGTATAATACATTGATGTAACTGTTTCTAATTTTATTTTCATTAATTGTTATACTGGGTTTATACTCGTTAAGTTATTAAATAAATAAATAAATGTCTAATCCGCCTCGGAGAAAGATCTGTACATTTGATTTAAAAGATTATATAAAGTCGCCAAAGAAATTTCTGGTGTTAGAGAATTTATTACTTAATTTGATAGTCTGGTGATGACATCGGTATGATCAAATCTAGAGGTGTATAGTAACGGTGTGAATGTTAGAGGGTGTCTAACCTTTCTCATAGGAGCATTGATGGGGTTACTTTTTACCATTGTACAGGGTGATTAAACGATGGAAATTATATTATTCAGTAAATATTAATAAACGCACAGAAAATGTATTATTTTCTTTTAATTCAAAACCAGACAGAACTTTTCAGCAGACCTAATATATAGAAGTCTGTGCATAGAACTTGTTTCGCAATCAGAGAACAGAAGACTGCAAGAAGATGACAAGACGGCTGCTGGTTCAGGTCGTTCGCGATGCAACACAGATAAAAACACGCTCTAGGCAACTCCCCGCAATACTCGCCTGACCGGCTCCAGAATAAAGAGCGAATTTTTAGAATTTCGTCGACCTTGAGGTACACGCGTACACATACACGTCTCGAGCGTTCGCATGAAAACAGACGACGTAGCCGTCGCAAAAAGCCGGGAAAATGAACGAGCGAACGTCAAACAAACGTCTGAGTGGTCGCCAGAAAATCGTCCTCAAGAGAAGCCATTAAACAAATGAGGCCCATGGAACGATCATTGCCATGGCTCGAACCTTGACACGCCAAGTCGGCAAACAAGACCCCGCGAGTGGTGGAACAAAGGAAACAAATTATTGTTTCCGGAACGGGATCTGAAAGATTGTGTAAAACTTTCTAGGAGGAAATGACATCGAACGACGTTTGATAAGACGGTTATCGAGGAAAGATGAACGGAGTTATTGTCACTGATAGATGAAATGTTTTGTAACAAAACGATTCTGGGAAGATGATAGGGGAAACGATCGTGGGTGAGAATCAGATGTTGATCTGCGTAAATTTGTTGATTTATTAGTAATTCAGTGGTGAGAAATAATTTTGCTCTCGGTGAATTGTTCGAGTTGATCGGAAATTGGGTCAGTGGAGGATGTTTGAAAATGAATTTGGGAAATATTTATTTATTTAGTTAGTTAACGAATATAAACCCAGTATATATACATAACATTTAATGAAAATAAGATTTAAACAGTTACAACAATATATTATACAGTATGGAATTAGTCGCGATAGGAAATTTTAATAAAATATTAACTAAGATTAAACAGTTCTTAGTGCTCTATGTAGGGATGCATTTGAGTATTAATTATGAACGTTTTAGGTATGTACGATTAGGTTGTTATTGATTATGGTAATAGGAAAGGAGAAAGTTGGATTTTGTAGATTAAAGGGAAAATGAAAATGAAGGAATTCGACTGGAACCGTTTTATGTCGGAGAATAGTAGGAGCCAGATCCTTTCGACGCTTCATGATGATGCTAAACGATGATTCAGAGTTCGATGAAACGCAACCGATTTGTTAATGGCGCTTCGAAAATGACTCACGCTGCAACTTTGTCACTAGGGCACGTTTCTTTCGATGAACTTCGGATTTGAATCTGTGTTTGAATTTTTTTCGAGATGACTCATTGAACCTCGAGTTGCAAATCTCAAATGTTCAAACGTTTCTATTCTCGAATCTTAGGATTCTTTTTTCAAATTTTCCAATCTTGAGATATAATTGTTATATAATATTTAACATAAATAAATTTAGGTCTGAATTACACAGTGTTTTCTATGATAGGGTAGCATGGTTATTATTATTATTAGGTTAAGTACCAATGTATTGTTTATATCTATCTGAATTCTACTCTTATAATTGTTATATCTCTCTATACCTCATTTGATGATTATTGTATTAGTATGCCGTAACGTTTTAATCATATATTGTCAAATGGGGGTTTCACCCATATGAATTGAATTAAATTAAATTAAATATTATGTAAAAAAATGTTAATATTAATATTGTCGAATAGTTTGATAATCAGTCGTTAATTTAATTTTTTCTTTCACAAAATTTATACTATATAAAAATATATAGAACTATGCTACAAAGAATATTACATAATGTCAAATAGCCCAATTAAGTACTATTAGAGTAAGCAGGAAAATATGTGCTAAAAATATAAGACATACGGTAAAATAAATCTTGAACGATATCAAATACTTCCTGAAATATTCTTCAAATCTCGTAAGAACTTTTTTATTAAGACCGACACAAACGTGTTACATTTTATGTATTTGTTAATAGAAAGTCACGCAGTTTTTTTATCAACAATTGAATCCCAAGAGTGAGTTATCTATACCACAAAAAAAACATCAAATTTCATCGATTACCACGAAATCGAGGCAACGAATTACCACACAGAGAAAGGATCTAGCTTCCTACTGTTACTTCATCCGTTCTCAGGACAATATCTTATGCGTTAAATTAAGTAATCAAAACAGTCTATGACACAAGAGCTTCGATTCTATTCTTTCAGAAGAATTTCTATTTTTCTTATTAACTTATTCCCTCGTTTGACGATAAACCATCACAAATTTTTTAACTGAAAGTACGAAAAATTGTTTGGCCCAGTCGTAGTTCAGTTTTTCCAAAAATTCCATCCTCTTTTGTTATTTTAACATTAATTTGAAACAGAATGGCTCCTATAATATTTTGCAACGCTAACATTAAATCTATCTTGTAGCTCATCTCTGCCCCCATTAAAAACTTCTCCGTTCCAATAACAAAAAAAAAATAATAAAAGTTTATTTCTCAAAAAAAAAAATTACAAAAATTACAATCGTGAAACATTGAGCATTGTTTTTCATTTTCATTCCTTTCGAGAAACCCTGAATATTCCAAATACTCACCTTACACTTTCAATGATCAACGAGCAATTTCAACGCCGAGCATCGACGGTCGGAAACGACAATTCGACGGTCGCCAATAATAATAATAAAAAAAAAACGAACGAAGGTGAACGGAAGAATGATCTAACTATAAAATTGTAGACCGTCGGTGGCGGTATTATTCGAGATGAGACGCGTTTATTGACAGTAATCTTCCGCTGCGTGCGCCAAGCATTTTCTGCTTCCTGGTTACCGTTCGATATCTCGTCGGGCATCGCGTTGCTTTCAGTAAATCATCCACAGACACCGACATGAAATCGAACGTGTCGAAAGATTATGATCTGGAGGTTCCCAAAGATAAAAAGAAGAAGAAAAAAACGAGATAATCGCACGCGACCGAGTGTTTCCAGCGTGTTGTAAGAGAGAAAGAAAGTCTGTCTCCATTGATGATTGGAATCGGGTGTCGCAAAGACGAGAGTTTCACCATCATTAGGAAATATTATGGCGAGAAATTTTATTCTCAGAGTTACTGGTAACAATTAGACAAAATTCTACATCTACTGTATTAATATCTTATTATGCTATCATATATTTTATTATACTATAGTAAAAACGAAATATGGTTCAGGTGATTCAATTTATCGAATCCTGAAATCAGCCAATAAATTCACGGATCTGATTGACTTTTTCAGTGGCTCTATTGAAGACTTTAAGGCATCCCTACATAGAGCACTAAGAATTGTTTAATCTTAGTTAATATTTTACTAAAAATTTCCTATCGCGACTAATTCCATACTGTATAATATATTGTTGTGACTGTTTCTGATCTTATTTTCATTCATTGTTATGTATGTATACCGGTTTTATACCCGTTAAATAACTAAATAAATAAATATCGATCGAGGCCTAAGATACGTTTTATTGGATTCGATTACCACCATAAATATAATAGACCATTTCGTATATTATTTATTTAGAATTGAAGACCCAATAGTACAATGAATATTGTTACAATACTTATGACGTGATAAGGTTTCCATGATACGCTATTATGTATATTACTGAATTAATAGTTTACATTCAAATGATGATATATTACCTGAGAAGAAATCTATGTTATCAACGTATAGTAGACTAATGCATTTTATTATTCGATTAATTGCATTAAGAGATCCATATTTTGACTTGTAACATCGAGATAAAAAAGGTTGCCTCTTTATAACACATCGTATAAGTCTATAAGTATATTAAATATACCAATAAATGAGCCATTCAATTTGCTAAATTAGTTAACATCGTGAAAATTATCAAGGAAATTTATTTTGAAATAATAAAAGTTAGGAACCTTATCAAGTGATTTGGATCTCGAATTTGAAAAATATTCCAAAATTGATGTTAGATACTTTATCCTATGAATGGCTTAAATAGTCCACTATTTTCTATAAAATTTTATGTTAACATTGAAACAATTCAAAACTCTGTGTTATATGAACAGTAATCGTTGTTTCCATTATTTCACGTGATTTTAACTAAACTAAAGATCAGAAAGGTATTCTGAATTTTTTCTGTTAAGAATTACAGTAAATAGTGTTAGATACTATATCTGTAAATTATTTCTCTATGGAAACCTATTGACCTAAAAACGTTAAATATGTACAAACAATAGATTTTAATAGAACTCAACTTGTCAGGGTTAATTCAGGGTTCAAACGAAGGTTTCGTATAATTCCATTTGGAAACGCTGCGAATGCATCAAATTACAGCTACAGATTGCAAGATCCTCAGCTATCGATCACTCAGTTTAACCGCACGCTCTCTGTTCTCTATCCCGCGATCTTCCGTGCCACGTGTGTTGCCTTGTATCACGGTGCATATATGCATCAACGTAACTTGAACGCGTGTATGCATAATATGAGGAGTATGTAACAACTTTATGCCGCTTGTACACTTGGCAATTCGCAATCGAACGAAATGAAATCGATCGAATTTTGTCTATAAATCAATTGTTTACAGGATACTGCCGAAAAAATGGTATGCAAATTCTATATGCAAAAATAAATCGAGACTGTGGAATAAAATTTTTTTATATGATGCTTTATTTCCAAAATAATCGAATTTGAAAATCTGTCATAATAATCGAATTTGAAATCTGTTCATTACATTCCGTTTCTATTTATTACCAGCACGAATACATATATATTGGATAAATTTTCAAAATTGAAATTTTTCGGAAACTAAACCTCGAATGGACAAATTTTATTCTAGACTTTTGATTTATGAAATATTATGTTTGTTTTTATAAACATACAACTTTATAACGTTCAATGTGAAACTGTTTACTAGATTCGATCAAGTGTATAAGCAGCTTCAGTCAGCTCACGTGAAAACAAGCGTCTGCTATCTGCGTTCCTGCGGTCACGCGACTGCAAGTCGCACGTTTATTAATACCTGTTTGCGTGAAAATTGTGGCATTAGAGGAACGATCGTAAAGATCCTCTTGAATACGTTTAAGAATGATCGAATCAGATGTACTTGGAACACGTAATGATGGATGGAAGTATTTGTATATGTCTTCGAGAAACGTTTTTATATAAAAACCAAAAACAAAGTCATTGTTGTTGGCATTTGGGCGAGAGAACAAGGTTGACTTTTCTTCGGTTTTCATAACTGAAACTATCGCAACTCGAATATATATATGTATATATATAATATATAGAATATTATTAGAAATATAAAAGAAATTCCGCGGTTGATTATTTTGTCTTGATGAAACAATAAAATGCGAATGAAATAAAATTCCCCCGATTTTGTGTTCCAATTATCAAGTGACATAACATATCAAGATCAAAACAGATCATCTCTCTATCAATAATATTGTTCCAATCAGAGGAAATCTTAAGAAACGATGCACACATCAAGATTAAAAAAGATCACTCTCTATTAATAAAATTGATATTAATTCTATTACATAATGTGCCCTTCTACAATATTTTTCTTGCACAGTTATGTACTATAATTAAAAAAATAACCTGTTAAAAAAATACTTTCTCTTTTTCAGGTGACTTCGATGCCGAAACATACAATTTGATGGCATTACCAAGATGTGGTGTGAAGGACAAAGTTGGCCCGGGCTTTGGACGATCGAAGCGGTACGCTCTTCAAGGTAAATAGAATCGCAAATAATGTATTTAAAATGTTACTGTCTCCCGTGTATATTCATTTATTCGTTATATAATATTAAAACGAATTCCACTTATTTGGTTTCCGCGACCGAATCTAACATGTGACATAACGTTCGATCGATCATTCGATTATCTAATCGATCACCGGTTGTTAAATGCCCATAAACGCTGGAATCAGAAACTAATCGATATTTGGCCACCGTGTCGTATCCGATCTCGTTAAAATGTATTTCCATTAACAGTCGACACAACAGTAACAATTCTCGAAATTATATAACAGTCGAGTATCTTGTGATATAATTCTGAAAGGATTCGTCACAATCATTGGAATGGAATAGAATTTTAACCAATGTCACTCTAAGTAATTACAAGCAACACTTGTCATCAATCACAAGCTTCTTATAAAGTTTATAAAAACTAAAGTTGCATTATTCTTTCAATTTATGGTATGTTACTACCACAGCAAAAACACATAAGTATCCTATCTAATCTAATATGTACTCTGAAAACCATAAATTTTCTTTCGATTTAATTAAAACTGAATTAAAAATAAGAAGGATTGTATTAAAACAAAATTAATTTATCGTGAAGAATCTATTAATTTTTTTAATTACTTTATCTATGATATTATGCATTTATAACATATTCGACCATAGGAACTATAAGAACGTAATAAATTTAATAATCTGAAAAGGTTTTTATTTGTATTTTTAAAGCAAAGAAATATTTCATTCAGACAAACAACGTCTGTTTAGTTATGATTATCGAAGATGAGTCTATAAAAATTTGAATTTATTGGAATATCCGCAGTCTAATGAATAAGTATTGCAACAGGCTCTTTTCATCCGCGCAAAAATGTTTAGCAGTACGGTGTTACTTTTAACTTCCTGCCTCATTATCGTCAGCACGGAACCAGTCACCCTAAACAGGTCATGCGCATCTGTACCGCAGGTATTTGTTGGATGCTCCGAATGCATTTTTTAAACGTTGAAAATGCTCCAAATACATTTCCGAGTTACCAAATGAGACTACTATTTAAACATTACCGTTAACATCAATCTTTTTTCCCATATAGAACCTATTAATAAATTATAACGATTTCAAATTGCGTTATAACTAAATAGTCATAACTCCAAAATTACGACATCTGTTATATTTCTAAAATATTGGGTTATTAAAAAATAAATAATCGTTTGGATATATTAAGATTACTATAATTGTAGACGACATAGAATTTTTTCAGTTCTTTTTATAACATTATAACGATTAGACTGTATAGAACATAAATTAATTTTAACATATACAATAAGATTCATCAAGTTATTAGATTACCGAAGTGAATAGTGATCGGTCATTTAATTCCAACAAATCTGATACTTCCGATAATATCCTGATTTCGTAAAAAGCATTTTAAAAATCGTATTCACCTTTCAATCAAATTTCTAAAACAATTTTGATAAATACACAATTTCTCTGGAACATTCTTCCTCCAAATTCATACCCAATTATCTTTCAACAGCAAGTACCGCTAATTACTTAATCACATTTTTCCTTATCTTAAAATAAACCTCATAAAATTATAACAATAACGATATGAACAGTCATCCACAAAAACTAGATACTTTCTTTCAATTGTATTCTGTTTACTTAAAAAGAATATTTCAAAAATCATATTCGCCATTCAATCAACTGCCCAAAAGGAAACCTTCGAAGTTGTCTTGAAATAATAATTCCTTATCTCGAAATAAACCTCATAAAACTCCAGCACTAACGATATGAACAGTGATCCACAAAAATCAGATACTTTCTGTCAGTATTCTAGTTCGTTAAAGAATCATGTTCGCCGTTCAATCGAGTGACCCAAACGGAAACTTCTGAACTTTCTTCCCCTATCGTCATACTAATTATCCTTTGACCACGAGTGCCGCCAATTACCCACCGTAGTCGCGCATACGTTCTCCATAACAGTCCGATTAATCAGCTTTCCCCTTTTTCCTGGAAGACAAATCATCGAGGCACGACACGTTCGTGAAACGAATGATCGAGCCTAGCCACTAGAGATGGTGTGCAAAATCACCAAAAGTGATTTATCACAGTGATCGCCGAATCACGATCACGGTCGTAATTTAGTTTCATTCACGAGCGTGATTGCGATGTTTTTTATCTTGAGTGAATTTGCTCACTGCGATTGTAAGTCCTTGATCTTTAAAGAGAAAAACTTTAAAAATGAATTACATTAATATTTGCGTTTTGAAAAATCAATAGAAAAAATTAAGTCTAGATCTAGAACGAACGTGATCGAATCAATTGTGATTGACAAGTAGCTGTTCAAAATCACTAATAATTATTTATCACAGTGATCGTGATTTTTTTATCTTCAGTGAATTTTCTCACTGTGATCTTAATTCTTGATCTTTAAAAAAACACATATTCAATATGATTTAATATTTGCGTTTTGAAAAATTAGTAGAAAAAATTAAATCTGGGTCTAGAACGAACGTGATCGAATCAATCGTGATTGACAAGTAGCTATTCACGCCATCTCTACTAGCCACTAGCGAGGTCCGACCGATCTAACCGTGACTTTGAACCTCGCCAGCGCGCGCGCGCACGCGAACATTCCCCGGTTCCAGTGAACCCGCGGGGCGACGAGATCACTGACGCGTGAATCCGACGGAATTCTAGCCGCATAATATGGGTGTCAACTGTGACCCAGTAGATCACACTCGTCGAGCATTCGAAATGGAACGTCCTTAAAGCTTTGCTCGGTACCGAGCGTTCGCTGACTCGCAACCGACTTCCGGTCGCCATTTTATCGGACGGGAACGAAAATTCAGCTCGTTTTGTGTAACACCACGTAAAAACTATACTATTATTTATTGCGGATATCCGTGCAAAGTACATTTACAGATCATTTTACGAGAACGGAAGGATTTTTTTTTTGGTTATTAAAGAATTATATTGAGTTATTTTTTTTCGTTAAATGAGATAATTTACAGTAGCGAACGAAACAGTTACCACTTTCTTGATTTCTATTGATCTTATTATTTCTTAGCAACTTGAAACATTAATATATCTACTGAGCTTTATACAGCTTTTAATTCTCTATTAGAATATATATTAAATGGATACTAAAGTTTTAACCCTCTGTGATCCCCGTTATTTTGATTGCTTCTATCATCCTCCTGGGCCTTTTATGTGCAGACCTATTTTCTTTTGTTTTATAGGCTTCAGAAAATCTGAAAAAATTCAGGGACACTTCCCAGGATCTTTTCTGACATTATCCAATAGTTTTTAAAGTTGGATGTCAAAAGATTTTTTTTTAATAACAATACCTTCGTTTCGGAGATATTTTAGCGCGAAATTTTGCTTGTGCCATAAAAAACTCAGGAGGGTCGCGAATAGTAAAGTTAATATTCAAACTTTTAATGAAACAAATCGAAAAAGTGATACATACTTTTTTGACCGCTACTATATACAATAACCATAAAGAATTGTATCCTGTTCTAGTTAAAAATATTACCGATCGTTATTAAAAATATCAATTTGGAGTTCAGATACAATTTTAACAATTATAATGTTAACTGCTAATGGAAAGTTTGCAGAAATTTCGAAGTCACAAAAAATGATGAAAAGGGATCTTTCGATCTACACCTACCAGACTTCAATTTCTAAAAGTATTTTAAAATTTGGTAAAAAGATGCTTATCCTCTGAAGTATCGTAACACATCTTTGTAAAGGTCCTGTATTTCGAATAAAAAAAAAGATCCTGTAATAATCGATTTGATGGAATATTTTCAACTAGTCTTTGGGCAGGTATATATGACAGAACTAACAACCGACAATAACGATTCGTGACTGGCTACCAGTTCCCTGGACCCATTCGCACATTTTTCATTTTTTCCCTTTTTTTCGTCTGTTCCCATGCAAACGAAAAACGTGCGAATTCTTTCGGACAATCAACAGCTCGCCGACGATTGTCCGAGTCTGAATGGTCCCGCAATAATTTTGGTCCACGTTCCACCAAGCATAAACAGACTGAAAAAAAGGATCTAAGCCTGGCCGCCCGGGCTGGTATTTTTTTTTCAGTTTTAATAACAGCGACGCTAATCATGCTCGACCTTGGACGAGAGGAACCTTGTCTGGGATCTGTCGTTTCAACGGCAGATAATAGATTCTTGTCGCGATGACGAGGCAATCTTCTCGGTTCTATCCTCATGCGACGCTTGATGATTTTTATATTGCAAATTACTGGCATGAGGGACTGGTATAATTTATTTATAAGAACAGTATTCTCGTAGGTGTCTTCGATTCTCCATAAACATACGGAAATCGAAATTTCGAAAATGAAAATTCACAGAAAACTACTTTTGGAAATGAAACGGTTTCGTCGATCTGAGAAAAGATTATCGGAAAAATTAATTTATCGAATTGCTGAAATCAGCCAATAAATTTATGGATATGATTGATTTCTTCAATGGCTCTATAGGGTACTCTAAGAAATCCTTACATAAAACACTGAGAATTACTTAATTTAAATTAATGTTGAATTAAAAATTCTCTTTTACGATTAATTCCTTACTGTATATTATGTTGCTGTAACTGTTTTTGTTTTGACTTAATTTTCATATATGCATACTGGGCTTGCACCCGTATAATAATTAACTAAAAATTTCATGTAACATTGAAATTCGTACAAAGAAGCTTCTTAGAGACATAAAGTTTTCCTATTAATTATAAAATAAATCAATTTGACCAAAGCTGAATAAAAATCTAAATGTAACAAGAAATCTGGGATCACTTTGTTTCGTTAATAAATATGGGTGATAGCACTCTGGAATAATAAATAAAGTCATTGTACAGTAAAGACATAAGACATTCACGAAAATAAGATGAGAATGAAACGGTTATAATATAACGATCGTAAGAATGAAAAAAAAGATTTAGCGAAAAAAAAACGAAAATATTCGAGTAAGCGCGGTGGCCAAAGGTCGCGTGGAACCGTGGACAAGAATCGTTGTTACATTTTTACCCGGCAGAAACATGTCGTAAATATTTTTCCCCGTTTTTTGTTCAACGCATCGTCATCGTATTTGCGCAGGTTCGAGATGGCGCGTGAAGAAACTGACCTACAAGATCAGCAAGTACCCCCGAAATCTGCCGCAGCAGAAAGTCGACGCGGAGCTGAACAAAGCGTTCAAAGTCTGGTCGGAGTACACCGATCTCGTTTTCACTCAGAAGAAATCCGGACAGGTAAAATGGAAAAAACAATAAAATACTATTTGCACTTGACGATAAATTCATCTCTTTAAAAAATTTGAATAACCTTTTCATTTCGAAAAATGAAGCAAATTCTCGGTTTCATCATAATATGTTCATGTATCACCAGATTTAGCAACACATTTTGAACTTTTGAAAGTTACAGTGCGTTAACTAGTTAATTTTATACTAATATTTAGGGTTCGCTGTTCATAAACATCTATATTATTAGTTTCAGCAATATCAGAGACAGAAGAAAATGACTAATTGTCAGTGATGCGTGGTCCTAAAGCATTTTCTCAGAAATATTTTAGATGTTCGTAATTAGTAGAACACCCTGTATAATAGCAGTTTCCAATTCCTTGCAAAAATGATTCATAATAATGCAATTCGAAAAGCATAAAGTAGCATTAATATTTATATCGGAACTATGTACTGCTATCAGAATTGAAGTATTTAAGAATTTCCATTAAGTTACTGCAACAATTCTCATCCTTTCTAACATACATTAGATAACAATTTCATAAAAAAGAAAAAGTTCATATTCTATACAACACTATACTTAATAACTGAATTTTATTTTTCCATTTTATTTATTTATTTATTTACGGGTTAATTCCCATTAGAATACTTACTAATTCCGATTAGAAAATCTTTATCTTTTGAACAGAAATTATTCGGCAACCTAATATCGCAGAGCACAAGTGGTTATTGCCAATAAAATATCCACCAAAAAAGGTTCAAATTGTGATAGTTTTGACTACCTCATAAAATCGCTACAACTCATGTGTACTAATCTTAAATTTATCGGAGTCCAGTGGAATTGATTATCAATGAATTTCAGGTGCACATCGAGATCAGATTCGAGAAAGGCGAGCACGGTGACGGAGATCCGTTCGACGGTCCCGGCGGCACTTTGGCCCACGCTTATTTCCCAGTATACGGCGGCGATGCGCATTTCGACGACGCGGAACAATGGACCATCGACAGTTTTCGCGGCACGAATCTCTTCCAGGTCGCTGCCCACGAGTTCGGTCATTCCCTTGGCTTGAGTCACAGCGACGTCAAATCCGCCCTAATGGCACCTTTCTACCGCGGTTACGAGCCCTACTTCCGGTTGGACGAAGACGACGTCCAGGGTATTCAGGTGAACAAACCAATTACATTGACAGAGAAACGATCGAATTTCTGAATGTATCGTCGACCACGGTTTCCATGGAATTATATATTTTTTCAGTCTTTGTACGGAAAGAAATCCTCGAATACCGGGAGTATCCCGACTGGGCCGAAATACGGAACCACGACCGTGGCGCCGCCTAGCGAAGAGGACTCGGAACTATGCACCGACCCGAAAGTGGACACCATGTTCAATTCCGCGGAGGGTCACATATACGTGTTCAAGGGTACGTGTGATTCACAGGAAATATTTCATCCCAGATAGCACACGACGCCTTGAAGACGCCCATTTTACGGCTATTTTAGATCTGAGGCGCCTTTAAGGTGTCATCAAGGCGTCATGTATTATCTGGGATTCATCTACCCTGGAACGAAAGAAAAATAATAAGAATTTAAAAGAATCTTGTGTGGTCATGTAAAAATTGTAAGTTATGATCCTCCGTGGAGTTTAATCTTTTTTTAAAGTATCCTTCAATATTCTGAAAATTCTTTTGAACTTCATCGTACCTATATATTAACGAGAATGATCAGCTTCCTTCGGTCAGAGTTCAAAACACTGTCGTTCTTTTAATAATTTTGTCGACAGGTCTGTAGAATTAAATAATGTGACATTAATCTTGGAGATTACCAATTCCAGATAACACACGACGCCTTAAAGACGCCGATGTTACGGCTATTTTAGGGCGCCTTGAAGCCATCTTCAAGACGTCATTGGGCGTCATGTGCTATCTAGAATGATATCTAATTAACTGAAACTGATTCTTGAATGAGATTTAAGTAGTTCATTTCCTGGAATAAACTTAGTACTTTCTGCTTGCCTAATTGGTATCAGAGATTTTGTTGTTGAACGTATTAGTGATTGAAGCTATCGAAACAAGTACTGGTATTACAAGTTAATTTATGCATTTTGTAAAATTATTATTTAATGGTATATAAAATCTTCTTGACTTCAGGCGATCGTTACTGGCGATTAACAGCGGATGGTGTCGCAGTCGGCTATCCTAAACTGATTTCCCACTCGTGGAAGGGCCTGCCAGGGAACATAGACGCCGCGTTTACATATAAGAACGGCAAGACTTACTTCTTCAAGGTGAGAAAACAATTAACTTCATTTTCCACTGTCATTATTTTTTCAAAAATTCTTCGATATTCTACAGAACTTTTCAAACCTAGTGGTACTAAATCATCAATAAAAATACTGAGTTCCCAAAACGACATCATCACCTTTCATCGACTTTTTCAATGAGAAATATCTTAACAACAAGAAGCAACTTAACCTTCTATGGCCTCTTTGAGTCTTTCATGGCATATGCGAAATTTCGTGCTCAAATATCTCCGAAACGAAGGGATTGTTATTTAAAAAAAAACTTTTAACATTTAACTTTAACAACTATTGGTTCGTGTAGTGGAGACTCTGAGAAGTATTCCCGAATTTTCTCCGATTTTTTGAAAACCTATAAGATGAAGAAAATAGGTCTGGACATATATCAGATCCAACTAGTTAAACGTCTTAATTTTCTAATAAAAAGATACCTTACATATCCGAACAATCCCAGCTTTATCCCTTTAACCCTCAACCGTCCCTCATTTTTCCAACTTAATTTGTCTCTCAGTGTCAAGTTGACACAGTGGTAAAAATTAATATAATGAAGGCATAAATAGTTAAATTTGCAAATTCTTTAAAATACACATCATGAAGTCCTAGGTAAATTCATCTACACATGACAGAATATCATAATTTCTCAGGAGAAAAATGTGTCAAATTGACACGAAGGACAAATGAGGGTTAAATAAACAGAAATTCTCTTATTAGTCACGTTCATAGAGGAACGATATTTCAAACCATGTTTCTGTTAGCTGACCAACAAGAATAAGCAATTCCATTGCCACAGGGCTCGAAGTACTGGAGATACGTGGGCAAGAGAATGGACGGTGATTACCCGAAGGAAATCAGCGAAGGTTTCACCGGGATCCCGGACAACATCGACACCGTGATCGTGTGGACCGGAAATGGGAAGATCTATTTCTACAAGGGCAGCAAATTCTGGAGGTTCGATCCAGCCTCGAAGCCGCCGGTGAAGAACACCTATCCGAAACTGATCTCGAACTGGGAAGGCATTCCAGATAATCTCGACGCATCGGTCGTCTATCGCGGTTACACGTACTTCTTCAAAGGCGACGCATACTATCGATTCCACGACAGTTCCTTCTCCGTTAGTATTTCGTCGATTCTTTTCATACAATTTCTCTCAGTCTATTCGATTTTACGAATCGACTGTATTCGTTTTAATGCATACAGGTGTAGAATGTTGATCGATTAAAGGTAAAACTGTTCACTTACAATTTACAGAAATCATTTCTTCGAGGCACTAGTGAAATGATTTACTGTGTTTGAGTTTCCAAAAACAGATTATTCTTTTATAATGCAGGTTTACCTAGAACGTGGAATTTATCCGAATTTTCCAAGCAGAATACAGTCTTATTAATTGATCTATAAATAAGTCGGAAACGGTTCTGAAAGTTTAGAATAAATAATTCTTCTACAGAATTATTAGCTACCCCGTGTTGATGAAGTAACTAAATAGTTCGAGGCATCGTCCATCGAATGTGTAACAGAAACAATCTTGATAGAAGAACATATGATCGAAGTACAAAAGAAGTAGAATAACGTGAAACATTGAAACATGGCGACACTCTGGTCAGACACCGCCTCTTTTGCTCTGATCATGATCAATATTTATATATTATTTCTGTAGCAATTAATGAAATTGAATTTACTTACTAATTACGTTACTATATAATGTTTCTTTTGCATAAAGAATTGAAGGATGTTTTCTGCGATAATGATTTTCTATTAGAATTTGTTGATACTACCCATAATTCTACAAGTTATAGACAGATATTGTAGACATTTTTTCTACAAATTATAGATAGATATTATAAACAAATTTTCTATAACTTATAGATAGATATCTTAGATATATTTTCTACAACTTATAGACAGATATCTTAGATATATTTTCTACAACTTATAGACAAATATCTTAGATATATTTTCTACCACTTATAGACAGATATCTTAGATACATTTTCTACAAGTTATTGGCAGATATTGTAGATATACATTTACTACAATATACATATAGATAGATATATTATCTACAAATTATAAATAGATAATATCTCAGATATGTTTTCTAAAGTAAATAAATGGAGTCACAGTACCGTTAATCCGACGATCTACGCGAATCCTCAGGTGGACGTGGCCGATCCAGCATTCCCAAGATCGACAGCCTACTGGTGGTTCGGGTGCAGGTCCGCGAACAAAGGAACATTAGGTAATGTCCAATGGCTGCGTGAAAATCCCGAAGACAGTTTTCCGCATGCCGGCATCCTGGATTCCACCGGCGGTGACTTTAACGGCCACGATGGTGATGATGACGATAATGACGAGTATGGGGACGTGGGAGACATCATTCTAGACGCAGGTACTAAAGCTTCATTCGAGTCAAACCAGATCCTTGCCTCGCCGTGAACAAAGTTTCAGCATCCACTACTTTTTGTCCAAAAGTTGCAAAGACTTATATCAAACAAGAAGTGATCACTTTCGAAACATTTAGGATTTATTGAAATAGAGTCTACAGAAAGGTGCATTGGCTCAAGAATTTCTGGGTTCTACAATCTATTCGGAAATATTTGGAATTTGATATATTTTTATAATGAGAATATTTATCAATGAGTCTGTATCTGCAGATCGTTTCAGTTTTTGTAACTAAAATTAGAGTTTACTATCTATGAACTTTTATAAATAATTCTATACTGTTATTTTTTCCATCTTTTGTACATTTGTTTTATTGGAAGTTCTTTGTTGTTTTGGACAGTGGATAACTGAAACTTTAGTACAAATGGGTAAAGAGGCGAGGATACAGTATTTGGTGTCTCGAACACCTGGCTATTACATACCTAGGGCTCTCATACATCGAAGAAATTTGTGCATATGTAAATATAACAATTTTAGTCGATATTGTTTCCTACAAAATCTCATAGTAAAACGCGTTGTTGTGAGAACAATAGAAAAAAAAAGATTATATTCAAGGGTAAAGTGTTAAAACGTAGATACTCAAAGTACAATAGGTAACGACATTAGATATCGCAACAATTGTTATTCAACAGTTCTTCCACATTGAAAAAGTCCACATTATCGCAATATTTCAGTTAGTATGCGCCACGCCACGTAACAGCATCACGTTGTAAAAATTAAGTAAATTGCACGTCGACATTCACATTGAAAAAGCAAAGGTTATTTAATTTCCTTCGTGTAGATTTCGATCGATCGTTACAACGCTACAATTATATCATATTGTTTGCACAAACTTCTTCGGTGATACAACAATCAGAAACGCGGTAATCTTGTGACTTGAGTGTTAAATGGTGGTGGTACTAACATTAATATCGAACTGATCGAATTTTATAGAATCATTAATATCGCGGCACAAATCATCCCCGTTTGATTTACTAACAAACACGTGAATTTTCTTTCATACATCATCTGTTTTTGTTCGTTCCCGGTTGAATCATATCTGCAGATCGGCAGTAATACTAACACAAGTGAAATTCAATTCTAAAACTGTTATAAACAAAGGTATGAAGATATGTTGCTTTATAGAACAGTATTTGCAAATTTCAGTGTTCCTCTAATTAAATAATAATTTATTTAATGTATGATATTAACAGAGAATTTGGATAACCTTATTCCTTATTCCTAAAAATCAGATTAATGTGTTTCTGCCGATATGCAAAATTATCATTATTCCAATTAACTTATTGTCCCTAGAACGACTTCCGCTAAATTTGACTCCCAAACGCTTCGATTTTATTCAAATTTAATAAAAGCGGTGATATTAATCTATTTTTACAAATATACTGAAACATAATTGACTAACTTTTCAAAAATAATCAGTAGACTGCAGATATTTATGCAATTCTATTAATGTCCATATTTTCATTCCTTAATTTAAACATCTTCACAATTCTCATTTTTGGAAATACGTCTGGAATAATGTTTAACTATATGAACATCTCAATTTCAAGAAACAAAAATATTATTAAAGATATCAATATTAATAAAAGTTATCGAGACACGCACGGCATCGGTTGTGGAACCGGAAGTCGTTCTAAGGTCAATTTGGTGCGCGATCACCCTCCCCGCAAAATCCAACCTTAAAAAAAAACCCTATACAAAACTATCATTCCGCGAACATTAATTCGCAAAAATCTCAAAGCCCAAAGTATCTACTAGCCAGGCGGCACATGAAGTTTTATGTTCCCAACAAAAAAAGTACGAATATGTAAAAAAAAAAAGAAATAGTTGAATTGAAAATGCCGGCCACGAGAAGGGGGATAACCGTGAACTATGGCCAGTCACCGTCGCCGGGCCCAGTTTGCTGAAAAAGAACAGTAAATATTATAATGTTAAGCTTTCCCTGTCTATCATTTTCTCCTATTGTTATTTTTTACGTTTTTGCTTGTTCACAAAAATTGCATTCGACTGCAAACTACTTACGGTATTGCGTACTCTTTCCTCTCCTGATTGTTTTCTCTCTGGCCTTGTTCTCTGTGTTTTTCTGGCTGTTCCGTGTGCCGTACATCCTCACTCCGATTTCAAATATCGGCTCCCGCGTGTCACCACTCCTAACGTTCATTTACGGAGAGGTATCATAGCACTACCTTTTTTAATCGTCACAATTACCATTTACTGCACGTCTTTGTTCACTAACACCGTATTGCCTAGAAAGTATTTTTTCAAAAATGATATATTATTATGCACTACGTTTCTTTTAAAACGTAAACAAACTCTGTACCACTCTTATTAATCACGACAGTGCAAAATAATATTTCGTCCAAACTTCAAAAATCAGACCTGTCCACGATCAGCTCAGAGAGCTAAATTATACCACTATAAAAATTTTTTCGCAAAATGCAATGACATTAAGAGAAACGTAAACAAAAGTGAAGAAAATACTAACGAGCTGTATCTACGGACAGGCCTGCTTTAGATGAAATTACTTGTATTTTAGGAGCATATAATCACTGATTGTTCTGCACGAATTTCTACATTATACACGAAACGGATGCATCACAGCACGAGTCGCGCGTAAACGTGTGAGCAATATGCACGTGTGCACGCACATATTTTCTACGCGAGTGTGAAACAAAACAGGTGCATGGTAAAACTGTACGGAGAGGACGGTTACGTTGTTTGGAACTTAATCTACCGTAGGACAGTATCTCCTTCTCCCCTCCCCCCGTTCCCCTCCCGGCCCCGCCATCTAACCAAAATAAACAGAACCAACCTTGAACTCCACACGTCCCAGCTCCGTTTCACTCATTTCTTCTCTGCCCTTTCATCCTTCTCTGTTTTGTTCGGGACTTCTGTTCTTACCCATTTTCCACATTCGCGTGCACGTGTTTTTTATTTCTTTATCTCTTACACGCGGTTTACATGCACGAGTTACTTTTAGTTCTAATGATTTCGTTACACGAGGAGTTATTCTGGTAATAGGGCATGTTGAATCCTCGGTCTCTCCCTGTGCACCCATTCTTCTACTTCGGGTGATTCTTTGGTACGGTTTATGTGGAGGCTGCTGGAAATTTAGAACTCTCCCTCTGATTTCTATTCTCTGACACGATATGCCCGTAACATTAGTTCCTGTAGTCTGTTTCTTTTTACAGAACGTTATTTTGCTAGATGGACCATAAGACGTTGCAAACTGTTTTGCCATTGGCGATGACATGTAACGACAAAAGTTCCTTCGAATTTACCGGAATCTTATGATTCGCGTAGTTATCGTCACGTGACTATGTTTAGAAGAGGGAGAATTTGAACGGTCATCGTTATAATTGTTTAAATTGTAACAATTGTTCTGTAGTTGTTTCAGCAATTTGGATTTTTAGTCATAAAATATTTGAACAAATATCATCTACTTTTTAAAACGTTATTTGAAAAAATTGAATGACATTCCTCTCTTCAGATTTGGTCACGTGACAGTCCGATAAGTGTCATTTAAAGAATTCCACTGAAGCTTAAATAACGAAAGAATCTGCTGCTACCATTAATGATTATGGAAAAACAGCTTGTTTCTCGCCACGTATACTCTTGATACTAAAGATTTTTGTGCACTGTATAATTTCGACCACCTGTTTTGTTCGGTATACTATTATAAATTTACGTTTAACAAGGCGATGTCACAATTGAATCCCGTTCCACATTGATACATAATCTTTTATTTGAATTATGTCTTTTTTGTATAAGCCTGACTCTTTTTAACATACATTTGACACACAGATGCACAAAGTCAATACCTGAAATTTGTTCGCTTTCGAAGACAAACGTGTCCATCAATTTTATCCACTAGTAATCCCTGTCATTAGTAATACCTATTTAGTAATTATACTTCAAATTTCAAAAGTCGTGAAAAAGAACAATGAAAGAAACGTTTTCGAAGCACAAAAATCTTATGGTCCTGCGGATAATATGTACATTAATTATTTATAATTTATACTTACCCAAACGAGATGCACCGTCAATGTTGTCACGTACGCGGCAGCGACAGATCTCAAAATGACTCACGAGTATTGCGTCTCTTGCGCGCGGTTCCATTAACTCGGAAAAACTCACTTTTTCCAGAGGACAACAATCTGCACTCGGAATCGCGCGGGTTCGGGAAAAAGTGAACGAGCGAGAATGAAAAACTTGTTCGTTCAAGGAATCTCGTTGAGTCGTAAACTCGGGTTAGAAGGCAGCGAAATGGAACGACAAATTTTCCAGGGAAAAGGTCACTTGCAAACAAAACAAAACAAAAAGTAAATAAATAATAAAGCACAGGATTACGAGGGACAGGTTCACGAAGCAGAACTCACGGGGGATAACCAATCCAAAGCAAACTAAATAAAGTTCCAAACAACGACGAGAGCCTACACGATTTGTAACCCACCGTATCACCTCTGTTGTTTCACCCGCGAAACTGCGTTTTGACCGCGACCGGTGCAGTGAGCCATCCAATCAGCGACGATTCTCTTAAAAGCTTCCTATAGGCCCCTTCCTACGATTTTTTCAATCAAATTCGACAGGCGAAACGGACGAGCAGCTAGTCACGTCTTCCAATCAGGACACGGACTCCGGGGCGGGAAGCGTTTTCAAATCGTCGTCGAAATGGTGGTACCTTTCACTCAATGTGATGACCATGATCGTCGCTAAAATAATCGCCGCGACGTAAGAGAACGTTTTTTCACGGGGATTATTGAGCGATGGAAGTTTCTCGACGAGAGGGTTGCCACTGGAAACGTTTGAACTGAACCTTTGAACAGGGAAAACGTGGCTCGACGTGTGCCGAGAATGAAGTGGATAAACAGTGCCAAAACGGCAATACGCTGATTTATACCCATGAATCGTGGCCGTTAATTCCTTTAGGATTATCACACGCTTTTGTGACAGATCGTTTGTTAGCCCATCTTAATCTCTCATGAAACAATCATTCCATTGTTGAAGCGATGTTGCCCGAATATCGTTTTAAATATTTTGCTTCATCGTAGCTGTAAGTATTTCACGCAGCATGTCTTGCGAGCTGCGTTTCATTCAATTATTTTCTATATGTCTATTTGTTGATTAATAAATTGGTCGCATCTCACAAGGCATCCTGTATATATGTAAAGTATACAAGTATATTGTAAAATATGTTTATACATAATGTTGTAAGTCGCATGCAATAATGTGTCACCAAACCTTTTACACTGCCTATTTATTCTTTATTCGTACATCATGGTTTTGTATAGATCTTTAATGTTGAAGGCACTTATTTTGCGTATTTGTGCGAAACATAAGTTGAGACATGACAAATAGCGAATAAAGAAGGAGGTCAATTGGTTCTCTGACTGACAGTATTATGAGTATTATAGAGTTTTTCACTTCTCAGAATGTAAGGAAACATAGAAACTCTGAAAGTTTGATGTGGACAGCATTAGATATTGTTAAAACGTATAGAAACATCTATAGTACTCATGGTAGTGACTATACCAGAAAAAGAAAACAATAACTATCTTCCATACAAGTGCCTCAAAATCCTTTCGACGTAATGTAATAAACATTAACTTTTTTTTATGACTTTCTGCCATTCTATTGTTACTAGAGTTTATTAGTTAAAAACAGCTACTATGTGTCTTTTATTTACTTTCATTTCAATGAAAAATCTTATCCTTTAATTACAAATTTTTTTACTTTAGATGTATTATTTTCTGTTTTCTTCAGTAAGTTTCTTTCCATTGCTATAATCTGTTGCATTATACAGTAGAATGTTATATTAAATAATGTTAATAATAGTTACTAATAATAATCTCTGATGACCATGCTATGAAATGTGAGATTTAATGTAGTATGTGTCAAGAATGAGTTTATAATTCTAAAAACAATAATTATTTTTATTATGCTTTGAAACCAAAATGACATTAAAAGCAATATAATGTAATGTATGTTGTACACATCATAGGAATATATGTATGCTGTGAATTATGAGAGTGTTTCAAGGCACATCTCTCTTTCATACGTACTACTTAACTATTTCAAGTAAGAATAAAAAATGATTTAAAAAATTTTAAGTGAGTAACATTCACAATTCATAGCATATATATATTGCCGTAGAAACATTAATGACATTATCATATGTTTCTTTACATTCTAAGAAATGTTTCCATAATTTTGTTACAAATAAATAATTGAGTACTTAAGAATTACCTAGTTTTAAGAGTGAACCAAGCACAAAAAGCCTTGTACAGTTTTTTCTAGTAATTGTTAAATAAATTGTTTTTCGAAAGAAAAAAAACTATGACAAATGCAAAGTTCTATATCATTATTGTTGCAAACTATTTAATATGCAAACACACTATATCTTTAATGTGATGCAACGTACAAGGCCTTTATTTGCACTAGATCTTTGGTCAGGGCAATAAAAATGATTCATATTGAAACTTGCCACGCTGTGCTATGCCCTGACACTGTACAGTATCAATAAAAAATAAATTTTCATTTTACTTAATGCATATTTTAAAGATTATTACCAAATTATTTTTATTGATTAATGTTTTACATCATAAAATTGAAATTTTAATAAAAAGGTATATAAAATTATTTATATTAAATGCGAATTGTAGTGTTATTAAGATCTCTCCTTCTTTTCGATCCTAATCAAAGTTTCGTCTAAGGAAGGTTTATATGTTAAAAGTTTAGAATATCTTCGTATGAGTTTCTTCCAAAAATGTACAATATCGGACATTCTCAAATTATTCCATATAAAATCCTTCCCTTGATCTGCTATTTTCTTAGATAATTCATCATTCTCTTTTGCAAATTGCATTATCTCCCTAAATGTATAAGATCATTAGAAATTTCATATATCACAGAATAATATTAGGAACTAAAACGAGAAATATCTTACTCCAATACTATTTGATCTGCATCCTTAGGAATAGGTATGTAATGAATCCAAGGCACCATTGCATCATAATAAAATTCTGTCCACTCATCACCAACATGAAAGACTAAAGACTGGCACAGAAACAAGTGCTTGTGTCTGAATGATGCTGCAACACCTTTAAAGTTAAATAAATATTTATATTTACAATGAGATTCTAATGGAGCTTCAGAAGCTGGAGCAGCGTATAATGTGTCCTGCAACAAAACCCAAAATTATACCAAACATATAAACATACACAATCATGTAAATACAAAATAATTACTTCATCAGATTTCCATGCTTGATTTTTTGTATATTGTGCATCTACTAAATCTGGTTTACTACGACTTAATAGTACCAAATTATCACGCTCTGAGCTAGTTCTAGACCCTCTAAAAAATCCTTTGCCTTCTTTTTTTGACCAAGGTGCATTTTTGCTAGCTTTATCTAATGATACACGATGTTCATCCCATCTACCAAGGCCACGGGGATATAAAGAAATTGCAGGGCCACCTTCCCAAAATGACCATGCTGGATATGTAATATCATAATATTCTGGGGTCTATAAATACATTTACAATACTCAAAATCATTGATTATTTTTAAATATAAGCTTTACTACATAATACTATATACCTTACTAAATGAAAATATAGGCAATGGACCACCAAAGTGCTTACAAGTTTGAGGATAATCTCGTGTATTTATCACTAAATCCACGTCTGGTAAGTCAGGTGCTAGCTTTAAAAGAAAGTGCTCTATTCCAGCACATCTTGAGGGAAACATACAATCTGTCTGTCTATATACATTTCCTCCTATTATTTGATAAAATGTTCCTCTGCAGGGAACAGGAAATTATATTGTAAACAGTTTATTGCACGCATGTTTTAACACATTTACATACCTATTCTTTGAAGTATTTATTAAATCTTTGTTTATACCCTTCTGTTTGAAAGTTTTCAAGTCACGTATAATAACATCTTTGTAACAACCATTGTTTGTATTATTACAAGGTTTGTAATTTTGTTCTGCTTCTTCCAGTGCATGATAGTACTTATTGAATCGTTTATTCAAATCTATTGTAAACAACAATTTATGGAAAATATTATACATACAGGAACATTTTAAAAATGACATACGAATACCTTTATTGTAAATGTTAGTTTTCTTTTCCTCTTTACAGTGCCCTACACTCTCGATGGAACAATATTGTTCCTCGCAATTACTTATCCAAAAAATAGTAACCAAAAATATATAACTTAACGTTAGCATACTTCTTTCAAAAACACCGGCATGACAGATTCTGACCAATTCTGACAAACAGGATTGTTTAATGGTTATACGAAAGTAACTGACAAACCCTAGCGACATCTATAAGGTCGAAAAATACACAGCACATTCTAATGAATTTATGAGAAATTCTAGTTAAGTGTATAAGTAGGTATAAGTTATTCGAAATTTATAAAATACTTGGTGACATTTCTGTTCAAGTACCTTGTTACACTTTAGTTAATTTTACGAATGTGATCCGTTGCAATGACTGAAACTTAGAATATTTCCAGTGGCAAATTAGAAATTATAGAATAAGTAGGAAAGGTCATTGAACAATATGGAACAATGTAGGTTTTTGAAATTTTTATTAAATAAAAAATATACAGTTATGATTGGTCACCAGTAGGCATACTCTTGATAATGTCAGAGTTTCCAGCGTCTGTAATGGAAAGTGTACATACACGGAAGTATTTTCCGCATGCTGTACCTAATTCTATGTTGTTTCCCATATAATGGTGCACACCAGTCTTGGCCAACATAGCATAGTACTCGATCTCCGATTTCCTGTTACAAAAAGACAGATATTTATAGATCCAGCCAATGATCTTATACGTGAAATGTCTCTGCACTTACAAGCAGAGACGTGAGACTACTCCGCAGAACTCCCATTATGAGTAGATGAATTAATATTCAAACAAATAGAATAAGTTCAATATAAGTTTGAAATTTATAATTTTACAACTGTTTCATCATTTCCAGGGGAGTACTACATCTCAGTCTCACCTTAGAGGAGGGGTGTTGTTAGCAATGATGACCAATTTCGCTTTGCCTTGCCGAAGGGACTTGAGTGTCTGTTTGTAGCCCAGGACACATTTTCCTGACTTCATAACCAGAGCCAATCTGGCGTTAATACCATCCTGGGACTTCTTCTGTTGATTCAGAAACACAATTCATGGAATTATATCAGTGCCTTATGAAAATAGAATTTAACACGTGCTTCGGAAGTTGGATGAAACATGTGCATTAAGTGAATATATTTACCTGCTTCTTTTTAGCCACCATTTTTTTATCTAACTAAATCTGTGTCTGAAAAAAACATTTAAGAAACACTTAGTTAAGTTTTCACTTATCCATATAGTGAATTATTGTACAAATATTAAAATATTGATACGCTACCTTCCTCCTACACGTATTGCCACGGAACACGCCGGACGTGAAAGAGTTCAGCAATCTCGAAACTCGAATGTATCCAGTTCGAGATCGAGATGGCCATGGAATACAAATTACATAGACAGAACATTTTTTATTATATTCAACGGTTGGTTCATAGCGCCAAGGTCGAGTGTGGAAATTAAACAGTCCCTTCGCATAAAACTATTTCTGTAATTCACGCGCATAAGTACTTTGTATTTTTCCAAAGATCCTAGATTATTCATCGAATGTGGAATTATTAATTAATATTTACTTCTTGTACATATTTACATATGTAATGGAAAAGTAATCGAAACAACTTATAGCGCCGACTATAGTAAAACGCTTAAACTTTTACTAATTAATATCGCTATCTTATCATAAGATGGTACCACAATGGTATTAATTGGCTATTAGCTTGGGCATTTTGTCGTAAATGGCGCTACACTTCATTGTGACAAATGAAGTGCAACTACATACATATGTATTTATGTACATTCCATACCATAAATTTAATTCCTGTAAAAATACACTAATATATATGTAAAAAGAATTATGAACACTAAATTATTAATAACAAGAGAAAGACTGCGATATACTTGAAAGAAGCTATATCTTTTTGTAGATTTGCTCTGTACTTTTTTGTAATTTTCAATATATACTTACATTTTCAAAATTTGTATTATTTTTAAGACAATTCTATACTATTTTTTTGTTAATTCATATTCCGTGTATTCTGTTTATTTTGTGGAAGAGCTATTTATCTGTGATTCCCCGTCCATTCCTTGCTCATTAGGGTTTCGTGAATGTCGTGAATACCTCCCTTATGCTTGTAATAAAATGTTATAACTTTGTATAATGTATAATGTAAAATGATGAATAAACGAAAGTGTTTTGTTTACAAAATAAATAAAGAAACATTAAAAAGATTACATTGGAACATGGAAATAATTTGAAAATCAATGAGATCGATAAGAAGCAAGGAAACAGGAAAAATGAAACGGCACAGCTGAAACATCGTTTTGTAAATATGATAACAGATATAAGCGAATTGTTGCAGGTGTTATCAGTTCAACTGGTAATAAGTGTATTTATAAATTCCGTTTTTTATCGGGTCTTTCCTTTGCGTAAACGTCACAAGTAAATAGTTGAATCTTGCGAGAACGTCTACAGATTCTGAGTCGTACGTAATGTTATAAAAAATTATAAACATATACTGTTAATTTAAATATAATATTAAATAATTGTATTGGAAACATATCTGGTAATTTCATAAAAAGGAATAATCGATAAAAGTATATTTTCAATTAGAAATTAAAATTTTTCATAGCATATCTATAAATTTGTCATTACTTATACAAAACACATGTAAAATATTTTTATTATTATTTTCGTTATTATATAAATAATTATTGTATGTATATAAAATAGTCATACGTGATATTTCTCTATTTCCTGTTTTAGATATATTTATAGAATGGAACTTAAATGTAAAATACAAACTTATGACTGGGGAAGACATGGGATTGACAGCACTGTTGCAACATTAGCAAAATCTGCTAACTCAGACTTCACATTAGATGAAAAGAAACCATATGCAGAATTATGGATGGGTACACATCCAAATGGCCCTTCACATATGAAAGAGTTGAATATACCTTTAGATAAATATATAAAAGAAAATAGCATAGTTTTAGGCAATGATGTTCAGAAAATATTTGGCAAACATCTACCATTCCTTTTTAAGGTTTTATCTGTTAACAAAGCATTATCAATTCAAGCACATCCAAACAAGGTACATATATTCACTGCAACAATATTTAATCATTGTACTGTGTTCTTAAATGTCATATTTCATTGCAGGAAAAGGCAGAAGAATTGCACCAACAGTATCCCACTATTTACAAAGATGCAAATCATAAGCCTGAGCTTGCGATAGCTTTAACACCATTTGAAGCACTTTGTGGTTTCCGTCCAATTAGAGAGATAAAAGAGCTTCTGGAAATTCTTCCAGAGTTGCGCGCTGTAATAGGAGAAGATAAAGTACTGAAATTTATGACCACAGACGAAGCAAGCATTAGCAAAGCTTTGAAAATATGTTTCCATAGTCTCATGACATGTGATCCTGGTTTAGTAGCATTGCAACTTAGAAAGCTACTTGATAGATTATCTAACTTGGGTAATTTTTGTTTAACAACTAGTTATATGTAAAAATTTTGTTAGTGACTATGATTAATAGACTTCCTTGATGTTAGATGATTCATTAAGGCAGACCTTACATGCTAGCTTATTAGAAAGACTGTACTCAGATTATCCAGGAGATGTTGGATGTTTTAGCATTTATTTTTTTAATTTTATAACAATGCAGCCTGGAGAGGCTATTTATCTAGGACCAAATGAACCGCATGCATATCTCTTTGGTGGTGAGTATTTTATCATGTATTTTATATTATATTTCCATTGTGATACATAGTATTAAATATACATATTTCATATATATTGTAAATTGTGGTATACAATATTAAATATATTTCCAGACTGTATAGAGTGTATGGCTTGTTCTGATAACGTAGTACGCGCGGGATTGACTCCAAAATTGAAAGATGTGCCAACATTGATTGAAATGTTAACATACAGCTGTGAACCCGTGTCCGCAAAAAGGTTTCAGCCTTATCGCGAAGATGAATGTACAGAAGTATTTCGTCCTCCTGTATCAGAATTTTCTGTTGCTAAAATTACAGTGAGCATTTTAATCGTTGTATTTCTTTTTAATTACTTGCATCATAAATACCACAATATGTAATGTGTATACATTTTTCAGATACCTCCAGGAAGGTCCTCTTACAACATCATTCCTAGAAGTACAGCTAGTATTTTAATTATTATAAACGGAAAAGGTGAAATTTCATCGTCGAAAGTTCTTTACCGAGGATCTGTTATATTTATTCCGGCGAATGAAAAAATCGGAATGAAAGTTTTGTGCGGATGTCACCCGATGCTGATGTTTCAGGCATTCGTAAATGTTTAGGAAACAATTGTTCTGGATATTTAGAAGACGTGACGAACGCTAACGGCAAGATTGCACGTACTAAGTATTATTGCACTTTTAAAGGCTTCTTAGATTAACGTAAGTGCTTGTTGATCTTTGAATTTTATCAGTAGTTATAAGTACTAGTCATGAATCGGCATTCGATGACTCCATTCAAAAAAAGCCCGTTTAGAATCTTGTATTTTTATTAATATACTACAAATGTTATGTCCATAGTAGGGCATTCCGTAATTTATATCAGAAACACTAGACAATAGAGTTAAGGCGTGTGTATAATGTTTCTGACGTCGATGCATGAGGGCGAAAATGTAGAGACATTCCTAGACTATATAGCATTTATCGTATATAATTCCTGCCATGATATATGTACGTATTACATAAACTTTTCTGGCTTCCATTGTTAAATAGTATTTTTATATGTTAAAGAAATCATCAGTTTCTTTTTTACTTCACTTAAAAAAGTATAGTTAATTTCATAATTATGTCAGTTGCTCAACTTAAGGAGAGATATAATTAGATAATTACATACTTGCTCATTACCATGTAGCAATTGCAGACAATGTGCAATCTGTACTAGTCAATTTTCTTTAACTATTTACATTTGCCACTGCATATGTATACAGAAAGACTATGTATAATGTTCTTGCAAATGGCACTTTCTTATTTTACGATGTATAAATTGTTAAATGTAGTATTAAGTGTATAAGCTTAAGTAGCTTAATCTTATGAAATCAGCATTTACAAATAGTCATTCCATATTGCCGTATTTATGATAAAAAAAAAAGGTTAATTTATTTTTAAAAATGTTCATAGCATTCGTTTTTGAAAAATCTTAATGCGCATGCTATTCTTTATTTACAGTCTAAGAAATATTTAAAGACTTTGTAACAATCATGTAGTTAAAACTATACAGTGGACTTTTTATGAAGTATAAATATATAGTTTAAAAATTTACAATTTTCTCTTATGTAACAATAAAAGGTTTTCATCGTTAACATGATACGGTAAATTAATTCGACTGGAGATTGTATGTGTTCACAAAAATAAAGGAATAACTTATTTGTTACAATCATAACTATAAAATTGTAGAAATTGTCAGAATCATATAAATTCTGCACAGCCTTGATTTTAAGATGATATACAAAATTTGATATTTATCTAGATTTCGATTAGTCAAACGTAAGAAAAATAAGTGTATATACAAATATCATTGATTAATCATCATCAGAGTCTTCTTTTTTCTGGGCATTTTCAGCAGCTTTATCATCCTCCTTGTAATGTCTGTATTCTGGTTTCAATTCCCACATATTTCTGTGAGGGTTTTTTAGATTATAGTTGCATACTTCATTCAATATCTCCTTTAAATATACCTGGGAAATAAAGATTAACAATCAATATAAATACATGGAAGACTTACAGATAATGTTGAACAACACTTACAATAGGTTGCCTTGTAATTTTCACAAGGTCTCTTATATTATAATACTGATGTTTCTCGAAGGCAGCAAATAGCATATCCAATACTGCATCTTTGTCATCTCGCATTTTCTTGCCCTCAGCCTTTTTCTTTTCTGCATATTCAATCTACAAACCATGTAATTACATTAATATAATATCAAATATATTAGAACTCCAAACATTTCAAATAAAGTACTTACATTATGTTTATGATCAGAAACAGGCTTGAAATTTTGAACCACCCTATCTAATTGCTGAACTTGCCTCTGTGGCACAGAAGCTCTTTTAATACTTTGTAATTTCAATTTCATATAACAATTATCAGCTGAAAACAATATGAATAAATAGCAAATATGTTCTGTGTAGACCTTTGAAATATTTTACAAAATCTTTACCGTATGGTCGACATTCTAATTTTTGTACTATCCTCCCTTCCATGTAAAGTTTCTCAGTTTCAGGAACAATGGCGTCTGAATTATTTGATGCTTCAAAAGAGAATATTATTAAGAAATACGTCTTTAAACCAATAGTACAAGATGTTATAAACTTACGTATAACATGAGAAAATACACCTAACATCTGTTTTGTTACAGTTGTAACATCTAATCTATGTTGTTTAGGAATTTCTTCTTCCCCTGGCTCTTTTAAAGCCAAAACAGCCTCTGACAATTTCAGAGATACCTCTGCCTTTTGACCAGGGTTTCTAAGAATGCATATAAAATTTACTATTCTTACAGGATCAAGAAAGTCTAATAAAACACTATTAAAATGAAATCCTACTTAGTTATCTTTAATTTGCCAACTTCTATGTTGCCAGGTGCTTTCTCCCATTTGTTAGCTATATATTTGGGTACTTTGACTAGCCATACACCTCTCCCAGCATTGCTTAAATCTAAGTCCTTTTCTGTGTGCGAAGTATTTGCCGACATTGTTGTCTTTTTCAACAAATTATCTGAGAAATTAGGTATTATATTCGTGAAATGAAAAAAAGTTATTATTTGTAACACTTGGTATATTTATATTTTATAAAAATACAATCAAAGAACGTAGAATTACAACTTGTAATTATTCCAGTCCGAAGAGAAATAGTTTAATTAATTATCTAACATAGGAAACTAGTTTCCGACCCTATTTCTTTTCCATACGCTTAACATTAAGATTACAATTTGACTCTTCCGAAAACAAAGTTTCCTTTACAGAAATTCCAGAAATACAACTGATCTGAAGCAATGATCAAAGTTTTTCAAGATTGTTTCATAACGTACTCAAAAGTGCATGTCTGATTTCATATACGCCAATAGAGGGCTACTAAGCAACATTTATAAAATATCAGAAGTCCCTACAATTCTCTATAATTTCTTTTATATGTATATATATATAAATAATTGTTACGTACTTAAATCATTATATTATACTTCATTAATAAATCCATCTATTCCCTGAACAGAATACAATATTAACTCCAATAATTTCTATATAATACTTTTAGAGCCTTTATGATATAAGGATCGAGTACCAAACTGTGATATATTGTGAACATTATATCGAGTTAACATTTTTAATTAATTACATTATTTTTTTTAGTAGTATATAAAAATCAAATAGAATTTAAAATCAGTATACCACGTCTGTACCATATGCGCTCTGATCGTTTCTGATTGGTGGAGAAACCTAACAGTTCTTTACACGCGACACATAATCTGTATATTTTATATTAACGATATCAAAATAAAAATTCGAGTTATGTCGTATAAAGTGAAGGAATAATTAGAAACAATGAAGAATAATGAATAAATTAATGATTATAAATTATAATCTACATGTTACCTAGCAAATCATTCGTTTAGAATTTCTGATCAAGGACTTATGATCGCAGTGAGCAAATTCACTCAAGATAAAAAACATCGCAATTACGGTTGTGAATGAAGTTAAATCATGACCGTGATGGTGATTCGGCGAACACTGATAAATCACCGTTAGTGATAATGCACGCCATCTCTAGTATAGAGTCTATAGAGTAAACATATCAAAGTGTAATGTAAGTTGATTGTGAACCATATATAAAGTATCAGTATACGGTAAATTTGGTCCTTTTCTTGTTAGTTTTTAATAAACTTATGAAATGGTATATAACGCTAAAAATTCTTGTCACATTTCGTAATTTTGAATTTCCAAATTTCGTGCAAATGCACAATACATATTTTTCATTCAAATTTTTATGAAATTGCGCTATGATGAACAGTTAGTTTTTGTGTTTATAAGTAACAGCGCTATGAGCTACCCAAACGTCATTTAAATTGAGTGAATGCTACATTAGAACAGTTTGATTAGACAATCAGATTTCGGCAGAAAATCTAACCTGTACAGTTAACAAATTTGGCTTTCAATAGCAAATGCAATAAATCATCATCCAGGAATTGAATGAATAATTTATATTATTTATTTATTTAGAAGTCATAATGGTATCCCCGTACATGGTTATCAGTCGACAGATCTCTACTTCCTCTATTTCCTATGGCAAGCGAAATTTTCGAAAATTTTACATGTACAATAAACGAGGTAACCGTCAGTTTCGAGAGAGGCAATCCACAGATCCGAATTTTCCAATTCCAATTGATCGTAAGTTAAATTTTTAAAGGAAAATATAAATGAGAAATGATCTCCACTGTACTTAAACAATTTTTTTAGGAAGAGGAGTAAGACTGACAGGAGAACAAATAGGAGATGACTGGGTTGACATACCAGAAAAGATACCAGAGATTATTGTACCTTCGCTTAAGGATTTTCATTTAAAACCATATGTTTCTTATAGAGTTGAAGAAATTACAGTGCGTGAATTCACAGCTAAAGACTTGTTTAATTATATATATGCAGCGAAAATAGTGGACGACTTTGAGAAAAATCGATTGGGACCAGATGGTACACCATTATATCCCAATGAATATGAGGAATTGACTCCAGAGGAAGCTAGAATTAGGGCTGAACAAACTGGCACAGATATTTTTGCTCTAAACGAGGAAGGTTTTTAAGTTACACACAATATTGTACTTAATGTGAATACTAATTAAGAAAAAAAAATGGATTAAAACGATAATTTATAGTATTTAAATAAGCTCTAAATAACCCGTAGATAAGGTAGTATTTAATTTTGCAGTCTGCATATGGTTTTATTTAGTATTATCGTACACTCAGTGTATACACTTGCTGACAATTTTGCAGTTGATAAACAGTAATTATTCACTATCATATGTAACAGTAAAGAAATAACAAAACAACTAATTCACTGTCAATGTAAAAACAGATGATTTAGTTAGCAACTTTGCTATATTTTTCATTCACTTTGTATTGCTCACTCTTAATACAATACATTTGAACACGTCACTGAGAGTAAGCAATTACTCCATAAAGTAATTGTTCACATAATCGGACGACATATTACAAAATAATAGTAATGCCTCATTGTCAACGATAGTTCACGATGTTCACGCAAAAAAGTTTACTAGACGTAAAAATGAGATTTTAGAATTTATTCATCAATCAATCGAACGCCATACATTTCATAAACGATATCTATTTCATGCACCTTGAAAGTCTGTCGTTCGAAAAAAAAAAAAAAATACGCAACAGTGCCAAAACTGATATTCAATTTCTGAGGTTTTGCTCGCACGTTTTTGAAAGGACCTTTTGAGAAGAATATGCCAGAACAAGTTCCCAGTCTGATTATGCTAACTTAACAGCTATCGTTTTTTTTTTTTACTTATCAAAAGACTTTGAGCGAAGTTTGATTGTTTTTTTTATTGGGTAAAAAATGGCGGAAACTCTGAATATTAAAATCGTTGTCAGTTGTGCGCGGCCGGTATTGCTTCCTACTGACTAGACTACCAGAATCTAATATATATTTGCTTTGAAAAGTGCTGTATTCGTATCAAAATGTACAAACATTTTTTGGTTGTCATCGATTCGTTTCTTTTTCTTCTTAAATGCAATCGTGCAAGAAGCTCGTGAAGCAGAACTGCTCATTTCTTTTGTTCCGAGTGAAATGATAACTTTGTACTAACATTTATGCGCGGGTAATATTACCAGTAATTATGAATGCAACTCGCATCCTTCGTAGAAAACCAGGACGCATACAAAATGTATAATTTAACATGTAAACAATCATTATTCTCATTCACGATCGTGTATACAACAGTTTTATTTAAACATCTTTACAGAATGCAGCACTTTGCTTTTTTTTTTCAAACAGCAGCTACTATTTATCGCTATTTATTATTGTTTTTATTATTTCCTAACTTGCTATAACCATCATAATGAAGAGTGGATTGATAAAACGACTAGTTTTTGTACAACATTATTGAAAGAGTTATCAATAAAAACTTGTAACAAAAGACTCCAACGTAATTCCCATCATTATTTTAAATCCACTCTTCAATTAATTGCATAGAAAAGCAGAAGTGGCATAACTCTTGCATGTAATTCGAAATAAATCTTATTTCAGTCGTTTCTGTGAAGGAAATATTATTGCAATTCTCTATCTTATGCTACAATGTACATATAATTAGTTGTCCTTAATTTGAGCACTGGTACTTTTTTTTTTCACTCTGTGACAGTACACTAATTTTTTCCATATCAGACAGTTCGTTAAATGGAAGTTATAGAATCGATGAAGTAACTTAAAAATTTTGTTCATTGTTTGCATTAGACCAGAATATCTTCGAAACAATAGAAATGTCGGGAGAGACGCATACGCGATACCACCATCGCATGATAATTTGCTGAAATGTATTCAGGAAGCACATCTAAAGCACTCTTCGTTAATTATCATTAAAATCTGCATGACTATGCACGTTTACTTCCAATTAAACATACCCATTGTATAGCAAGACATATGCCACTCGCTCATAAATATAAACTTGATTGGTGTTTTTTTTTGTTGTTAATTATCAGTCTATGATATAATTGGATATTTGACTGATAAACATCAGCCAGTCAATAAGGCAGGTGCGTATGCTACTACATGACAAAGATTTCTTTTCTTTTTAGTAACATTACAGTTTCGTTATATATGTATTGTATGTACGTAATTATTCCATGAATGAAGTACATGTATACGCATATAAATATAGGTGATAAAATTTGATGCTCAAAGCAGAAAGTTTTGAAAAAAGAATTTCTGAATGGTAACAAATCTTTGGCATTTAGTAACACGTACCTTCCATCTAATCAAAGATTTTGTGTATGAAAGCTAGAGAGTAACATGGAGGAAACAGTTCTACAAATAAACGTGTACAAAGTCGTTCTTGGACACATAGAAAATAGATATGATAATATACATAATTATATAAATAAAAATACTGATATGGAAAGACTAGGAAGGCAATACTGTTTATTGTATTTGGTATATAGAATCTAGTCTTTCAGACTCAAAATCTCCAATTCAACGCTAAAAGTACAACAGGATAGATGCTCATTCCATTGGATCCCCAACGTTTTCGAAGATGGTTGAATGAGGGTTGCTTCCAGTGGCCCACAAAAAGCCACCAACACTGCCAGGTGGCAAGTATGATGCTCCTCCACTGAGACCCACCTGATATATTTTCTTCTTTAAATTATTTACATTTTGTATCATATTTGTGCTCAATATCTTTATCAAGATGTTCCAAATAATAATATCTAGGAAGCCAAATAAGGGAAAGGTACTACAAATTATATGCATTTTTCAAGCTTCATGTTTAGGTGTTTTAATATTGTACTGTTCAGGGAGTCCTTGGTCACAGTTATGCTAAAGTATGGCAGAGCCTATCATTCTCTGTATAGCAATGGTGTATCAGTGCATAAATTCGTGTTATTGTTTGAATAGTGTATTTAACAGGCAAACATATCTATATAAAATTATATTGCACAGTTATCAAAAGTTTATTTTTTGTTCATAATACGTACAAATTATATACTCCAATTTGCGTCCGAATGATAAAAATAATTCCCTATCTTTTCTTTTTGTTAACTGTACAGTGGTGTTCAGTCGAGGATCGGTACATGCACGAAGTAAGGCAAATCAGAGTGAACAATAAACGGCCAAATTAAAGAAAAATAATTGTTTATTTGCATCTAACACAAATAATTGTGCTATCGTATCACAAGTAACATCTAAGTCACTAATGTCATAAACAATGCTAATAATATTTACATCGAATCATCGTTGTGAACATGATACACGCTCACAACAATGTTGACATTACAAAAGGAACCGTAATATAATACTCTGTGTTTGAATTTGAGTATCAGTACGCACTTCTGGCACGATTTGAATTTGCTCCAAAAAAGCAATGACGTCACGATCGTTGAACAGATACCAGAGTTATTTTATGTTCTTTTTTATTTCAGCCCGATAACGTTTTTTTTTTTTATTAGGCGGCTCAATCCAAACGGTGTTTTTTTTAAATTTCTATTTATAGAATTACCTGTTGACTCCACAGCAATGTCCTTTCTGCCAACTGACAGTCTGCTGCCAGTCGCGATGGTAGGCTTTTCCATCTTTCTTCGTCTCGTTTTCTTTCTCTATCAAAGTCTCTGTCAACGTGTCCCTGAGATAAAGGTGGTAAAATTTGCGTTCTCTGAGCTAGTTTATAACTATCTTGTCTTGGTACGTGATCAGCACGTCTGCTCGCCGTACTCGTCGACACCGATATCGGAGTAGGGCTTCCTCCACCTCTGTGTCTATGATAGAGATTTCGTTTCTGTTGTAACATTCGTTGTTGCACTAACAATTGCAACTGTGTGCTTGAGTCACCACGAAGTTTAAATTGTGGTTGATTCTCAGGTGGTGTAGACGGCGGTCTTAAATGTACAAGATCTAAATGACCCCTTGCCTTGCCCGAATCTATAAAAATGATCGAAAATTCTTGCTTTTTTCTTTTTCTAATGTAAAATTATATATCATTGACATCGTTACTGTTTATATTTTAATACCTTGAATACTTCGTTGCTTGGTTGGTCTGTCTCCACCGCCTTGCTGACAGAACAGCAGTCTGGGTCCACCATCGGAGGCTCTGCGTCCTTGAGATACTCTAGACATTCTACCAGTTATTGGCGATGGACTTAAAGGTGGTGGAGGTGTGCAGGATGGTAGGCTGCTTGTGAACGAATTCGCCCCCGAGTAATCTGGCGGGCAACCAGAATCAAAACTGGATTCAAAAAGTTCGGATGACGAGCTACCGCTACCGCCCGCAATGAACAATGTTGTCCGACTAGGAGGATCAATAGGATCCATAAGTGGGGTATCAAAATGTTGTTGATAATCACTTAATCTTCGATTGACTATCTGACTGTCAATTCGTTGACTGATATCGTGATCTAGGCCTAGTCTATGTTCTTCAAGTTTAATCTGAGCTTCTCTCAATTCATCGCCGCTTGGACCTTCTTCCAGGTCACCTTCTGCGCTGCAGCATCCTTCGTCGGTTGAAGAACTAGTCGAACTAAACCGTTTCCCTCCTCGAGTCGCATCTTCCCTTGTTCTAAACACCGAAAATGTAACGTGTATTACATATGTATTTATAATGATTAGTTTACATGCAGATGTTTATGCTGATAAAGTGTGGATATTCGCTTATGAAGATTCGATATTCTTGCTTGTCCTGTTCGCTGTATTAATTATATTAATACTTTAGGAATATTAAAAATTATGAATGCAAATCAATGAATTCGAACACAACGAAACTATTAGAAAATGTAAATATAAACAGAAAGCACGTGTACATTCTGTTGTAAGGAATAAAAACTCAAAGTAAAAAGAAAGCAATGAAATAAAATGTAGAATTACCAAAACTAAAGTGACACCAAAGTGTTTCCAATCCGACCTGTCCCGATAAAATCTCCAAATATGCGTCACCGACACTAAAGATCAACGTCCCACTAAGCTATCGCTGGAAAAAGAAATAATTGTAAAATTAAAATGGAATTTCTTCGAAACTATTTCTGACTGGCAGGATTGGAAGTCGTATGATAAATTTATGTTATGTCAGTTCAAACAAGAGTTAGAAAATGATAAAGTGCGACGAAATACTTTAGTTACTAATGTGAACTTACCTCGATTTGAATTTGTCTTCTTTTGTTCTTGCTACACTAGGCCAGCAACTATTGTTCGCTGAACTACTGATACGATGTTGCTTCAGCCTCTCCAGCAGCAAGAAGTAAATAGCAGCATGATGATCATAGCTGCTATCCTTTAAAGACTGTTGAAAACATCATCACATTTTAACGTAAATTATTTCTTGTCTGTGCTTACTAGTTCAGTCAAAAACACTTCGTACAACGAGGAAGGGAAAGTACCTCTCTGGTCCGTGTAATATCTATGCCTAAGCTATGCATAAGTCGAAGTATTTGTTCATTTGGTTCTTGTATAGACGAAGATGGTCTTGTTATGATCATCGAACAAACAGTGTCGGCAGATCCCGCCATCCAGCGATGTCTCTTTATCTGTGGGATGGTGTATCGTTTCGAAGGTTCCAAGACCAACATTTTACGAATTAAACTTTCGCAGTCTGTAACAAAAATTGAATATACATCTTCTGAAGTATAACAGTACGAATGTTATTAAAATTATAGATTGATAATTTATTTAGAATATTTAAACAATCGGTTGCGAAAAGTACCTGTACTCATAAAGTATGGAATTCTAAACCTTCCACTCAGAACACGATCTCTTAAGGATTGAAGGGTAGATCCATCAAAGGGCAGTGCTCCACATACTAATACATATAATACAACACCTAAACTCTGCAACAATAAAAGCATAGTATATTTAACTATTCACGCTAAATATTATGCACGAGACAAGTATGTAAAAATGCTTACCCACACATCGATTTCAGGACCAGCATAATGTTTTCCCCGAAAAACCTCTGGTGCCGCATAAGGGGGACTACCGCACCATGTGCTTAGCCTCTCACCAGGCGTGAATCTATTACTAAATCCAAAATCAGCGATCTTTACGTTCATCTGAGCATCTAAGAGTAAGTTTTCAGCTTTGAGATCACGATGCGCTACACCGGTCGCGTGGCAGTATTCAACCGCGGAGAGTATTTGAGCAAATGTTGCACGAGCTCGGGGTTCTCCCATTCGTCCGTACCGTGCAATATAGTCAAATATTTCGCCCTTGCTTGCATATTCACACACCTAAGAAAGGTATGCTTGTTATACTGTCCCTCTAATTCCATAAATCTATCATAAATTTTCATGTAAGCATACCATATATATCATATTCTTTGTTTCCATAACTTGATACAATTTGACAATATGCGGATGTTCCAATTGCTTCATTATTTCTACTTCTCTATAAACTTTTTCAAGATTGGTAGGATCCAATTGTGTTTTGTCAATTATTTTAATGGCTACCTGAAAGAAATGAAAAAACAGAACAAGGTTCAGTCAAGTTCTCAGTTTCTAGTTAAAGGGAGTGGCTCTGATAACGTAAATAGTACCAAATATGTGTCACTGTAAATTATATTTACCTCTGTCTTAGTAATGCGATGTCTAGCTAATTTTACCACAGCAAAGTTCCCTTTACCAATGGTGCCTTCAATGTCATAAAATCCTACACGAATCTGCTTCTTGCCTTGTCCTACTCCAGAATCCATTTTTCTATAAAAATTGTCCTCTGAACAGCTTCTGGATGATTGTTCTTTCCTTATTGTATTTTAAAAATGACTGAAATTACTGCAAAGAGAAACAAACAATTTTGAAATGTCTGTATAAGAAATAATCTTTCAATTTTAAACTACCTAATCACTCTTTGAATAATTTACATCAATTACCATTATGTCATGTATGCAACCAGTGTGTCATATATGCAAAAATTGCAGACATGTGAAATTTGCAGATATTATATTGTAAATATATCATAAAACCTTGAGATATAATTTAGTTTTATCTACATAATAAATTGAAAATGTTTTATTCTGAGTCTCATAAGTCTTGGGTTCTATTGCCCCAAAGTGCAATAAACTGGGGGCTCTGTCTCAGGTCATCACACTGTGAATTGCAAAACCGATTTTGCAAATTAATGGAGCACAAAATATCATTATTTCAAAATCCATACATTATTTTCACTACTATCAAAATCAACGAAATTTCTGGAAATTAGATACTCGATACACCATCTGTCATAACGAAATTAAAAACGAAGAGAAAATGTTCCGAACTGTTCACATAAAATCTCATTGTTCCCTAAGTTTATACGATCCGTCCAATACCCTTTCTGTTACTTAACTGATTTCGATCACTATTCAAGATCTAAATGAGTTCCTCTGACGAATAAACTATTCCAAACAAGACGACGTTATTACCGTCACACCAATCCGCCTTAAAACAAACATTACACTTCGATCGGGGACCCGCCGATAAACCGAATCGTTCACTGTTTACCATTTGGAAGGTTTTTAATTCACTAAAGTGGGACCACCAAAGGGACGTGCTCGCGGTAGAAGCGTTCACGCGTCAGTACGCGGGGTCCATCTACGAGAAAACCGACATTGTGATTTCGGGGACGGAGTGTCGAGGGATCGGAACGGAACCCCCTCGGCAAACTAGAAGCTTCATCACAAAAGTGTGCAAAAACTTCCCGCAACAAGTACAATAGGTATTCTCGGCTGACGTCACGGATCGACAACGACCTCTTGCTCATCGACGGGTCCAGGATCGATACCCCTTGATAGTCCTCGACGAGACGACGGTAAAAAGCGAAAATGAACAGAGAGCAAGAAGAGAGAGAGAGAAAAAAAAGAGAAAAATTCCGAGGAGACAGAAGGCTATACGTGTGCGTGTCCTTCGGGCAATCGCTTTTGTCTGCACACAGATACGGAAGTAGGGGACAAACCAAAGCATTTTTGAACGTCGTCTGACAAGCACTCCCGACGAAGTGTGTATGTATGGTACTTACGTTCGATCCTGGCCCGGAATTACCGGGTGCTGCACGGCGCGGACCGGTAGAACCGTTTCTGACACGAGTGAAACACGTTGGCGCTGCCGACCTCGACGGGTGCGTAAGGTCGGAGAGCCGATGCCATCGGTGAGACGTCGTCCTTCACGTTCACGAGATTTCCAAATCTCGTCCCGTAGAGGCGGCGTTTTTCCTACGCGTGGACTCGTAGGAGCTTCGCGTAACGCGGCGGTTCGATACCGACTGACCGGACAGCCATGTTGCTAACCCCCTGCTACGCCAGAGTCGCCGGCCCCGTCACCCGTCCCCCCACTATACCCCCCGTCCTCCCCCTCATGCACGTCTGTGCACATCTCAGCCATTCTTAGTGAACATCACCGCTACCACCACCACCACCGCCACCCTTCCATCGTTCTCCCTCCCCCTCCCCTACCCGCGACGACGACACGGTCGCGCGCGTACCACCACCGTCACCGGAGCGATGCACGCGCGCGCGCACGTTATCTTCGACAATTGACGTCAACGTACGCGCTACTATCGTTTTAACGTTAATTGTTTTCTGGGTGTAATTGCAAGGCAAATAGCCAGCCACCACGTGGTTCGACCGACTGACTTCTCTCCCCGGGCATCTTTCCTTTCGGCTTTGTACCGCGGAACGAGAACGCTTCCCACTCACGCTGATCACGTTGTGGACCCATAGGCCTCTCGGTGTAACATACGTATCTTAAATGGTGAATTTTTTCATTTTATTTCGAAAGTAATCTTTTGTGCCAATGACACTCGGAATTAAAATGTTTTCTTTCGTTGGAATTTATTATCGATTGACATTGGGATGACCTGACCCCTGTACGAGGATGATTCAATTAATTTGTTTTATCATACATTGTGTGCATTTGTCGCTGACTAGGGGCCACCGATTTACGTTACGGTAGTAATAATACCGAATTACGTATGTTCGCCAGATATAACTGATCTACTTTTTCTTAAGCTTTCCATATTTGACAATCGATGAAATACAATCTGCCAATGTTATTTGTCACTTCTCCGATAGGTTAGCTCGACATTCGATACATCAAGCGCAGTAGGGCGCGGATTCTAAACAAGCGTGCAACAACATGGGGTACACCAGCATCTCGGGATGTATTTCAATTGCAAAATGATTCGTGCGAGGGCATGTCTGGCCGAAAACGCGGCTCGGCCGGCACAATTCGATCCGTCGTTTTAACGAGATGCCCCTGTAAATTGCGACCGAGAGAGAGAAAATGGAATACGGTTACGTGACGGAGGTGATGCACCGTTGGCTCGGAGACACCGATGTTCCCCCCTGCGTATCCCCTCCCCACGTCTCCCGCGGATACGGTTTCGATAAGATTTCATGCGCGATCACGAGCTACTCGTCGCGATCTATTTTACGTTCTATGACGATCAAGATGCCGCCCGGACTTTATTACTCGCGATGGGACGATCCCGCGGTTCTCTTTTCGCGCCGTTCGGATACGTTCACACAACTTCTCGCTTCCTACGATCGTCAGCAGTTCGACTGATCGTCAGCAGTTCGACGATCGCGTGCGTGTGTGCACCGTCATTGACGGATCGATGGATAATTAATTCCGGCAAATACTGGTGACTGTGTCGTTTTTTTTTTTTTGGAGAAATTGACGTCAAAGTCAGCTTGATTCACTACCGTAAGCACTTTTTAATGGCACGCGAACCTACCTATTTTTGTAGATCGTGGAATTTCGGTGCTTCTTGGGGGGGGAGGGCGGTGTTGGCGATGGGGGAGGGGGCACGGTACACGGAATAATAAAAACCGGCCTTGTGGCGTGTACGCGTGTAATATAGCTCGTCCTGTTGTCATAGGTCAAGGGACACACACATCGCGTGATTATCCTCTCACCGCGTTGTTATCGGGCTTGATAAAATGCATAAGCAGAGAGTCGAATCTTCCTTGTTCACTTAGATACGTGTGTCGGTCGCGCCGGTCACGTTTCCTCGACGTGTTATAGACGAGAGATATTGGAACAGGGAGCAGAGATACAGTGTGTGTATTCACGTCTTCGTACAGTGTCTCTGAATGTTATATTACAAGCGTAATGAGTTACTTCGCGCGCGACAGGCAGATTAAACGCGCGACGTTTGTCAGTTTGTTGTTTACGTTGTAAAATTGCATCATTTTGATGTATGGAAATATAACACGATGAAAGTTAGACGTGCAGGGAACTGTAGTGACGCAACTGTGTCTAAAAATAATTTTTATGTATTAAAAATGAGCGTGAGAAGGGGATTCGTGCCGGTTGATTCAATTAGTTGACTTATTGAACTCTGATGGAATTGATGTAATAAATTATGTGGAGCTTGATTGTGGATTGTGTAATATGAAATTCGTAGGAGTAGGATGGAACATAGTCAAAGGTTCGAGTACTTATTAAAACATTTTGACTATTGGTTAGTTTTAATATATTTTGATCTGTCGGATTCGACTCAAACTCTGTTTTGCTATTTTCAAATGGGTGAAAATGAGTTATTATTTTCAACTTGAATTTTTACTTATTTACATAATAAGGAATAATAATTTTGTTAATATAACATATAATAATATAATAAATATTAAATGTGTACTAAATAATGAAAAATATTTTAAACCAAGAATAATAAGGCAATAACAAAAAATGTAGTGGGGACAGCACAAGAGGAACTATAAATTCTGTCGTATACGACCCAGATCTTACCGTTGGAGTGTTAATTCCAGAAATAGCAATACTGTTTTAAATAAACATTACAAAATATTTAAGAATAAATTAAGAATATATCTTAATAATGTAAAAAGTAATACTAATCAATGTTTATCTACGATAATTCTAAATTCCCACTTTAAAATGAACTAAACACGCGAGCTACGTCATACCGTATGGAAAATTCACTCGGAACGAGATTCAAGTTCGGAATTCCCGCCATTAATATCGCTGTAAAAAGATCGACACCTGACTGACAGGTAACCCAATACGCACGTTAATCGAACCGTTGCACGATGTACAACGGCGTGCATTTGTTTATTCGTAACTGAATTCCTATTCAATTCGTGAGCACTCGAAGGCCACTTTTTTTCTCTTTTTCTCGGTTTCATCGGTGGCCATCGAACCGTCATCGTCGTATTCTGTCTCCCCGTGTACGTTGTATGTACCCACACGTAATCGTAGCTCCATGCGCGAGTAAAATGAAATATTCATGAATCGTCGACGTATTTATCGCATGTTAGGTAAAGCTTGCACTAGCTAGAGAGAATTCCCCCGCACACATAGAGGGTACGGGGGTATGTAATGGCGTTATGGTGTAAAGTTATACATACACACGGGCCGTACCATGTTCCTCCATTCACGTGGCGTTATTACGTTTCTAATAATTTAAGCGCATCGGCGGGCTGATGGTATTAATCGAACGCGGTTACGCTTCTAATCAGGCAAGACCACGGAGGAGGATCTTATAATACATGGTTAATGCAGAGTTACATATGTACGTACGATGCGCGAGCGACTCGCGCAAAACGATTTATTGCACAAGACGGATAGACGCGTCCAGTGTAATTAACATAACGTATGTAATCATAGGTAATCGCATGGATAAGAAACTTTGCTTGCGTAACCGGTTGATTGAATGAAAATGCATTCGCCCGGCGATGAATAAGGCTTTCGTTCGATGATAATGATTCGGCTGCATGGAAGATTTGTTTTTTCCATTGAATTGATCATTGCCAAAAATTGTTGTACACTGTCGTTGTGAGTGTGACAGTACAAGTGAGTAAATTAGTTATGTAGGAGCGTTTCTTTTTTAGAAAATTGATTTGAGAAATTATTTGGATAATTGTTCCGAATTTTGTTCGAAATTCGACAAACTGCTTGGATAATCGTTTAATTAAATAAAATGCATTTGTTGGTAATGAATGAGATTTTCAATTGATTGCATGGATGACTTTTTGTTATCGAATCGACCATCGCCAAAAATTAGATTGTTATCTTGTCGTCGCCAGAATGACGTCAACGATAAGTAAATTAGTTACGTAGGAGCGTTTTCTTTTTAGAAAATTGATTTGAAAAACTATTTCGATAATTGTTCCGAATTTTGTTTGAAATTCGAAAAACTGCTTGGATAATCGTTTAATTGAATAAAATGCATTTGTTGGTAATGAATGAGATTTTCAATTGATTGCATAGATGACTTTTTGTTATCGAATTAGCGATCATCAAGGATTAGATTGTCCTTATCTTGTCGTTAGAATGACGTCAAAAATAAGCAAATTGGTTACGTAGGAGCGTTTCCTTTTTAAAAAAGCGATAGATAACTTCGAAAAACTGCTTGCATAACCGTCCCATTGAATGAAAATGCATTCGTTTGGAAATGAATGAGAGTTTCATTAAGTTGCATAGATGATTTTTTTCATCGAAACGACCATGGGCAATAATTAGACTGTCGTTATCTTATCGCTGTGAGAATGACAGTAAATATGAGCTAATCAGTTACGTAGGTGCCTTTCCTTTTTATAAAATTGATAAAAAAATTGTTCCAAAACGTTCGTTCCCGTTTAATCTAGACCAGACGAAGGTCTCCCGTTGACGTAACTCAACCCTGAACAAGGTCGATAAAAAGAAGTCGAATCACTTGGATACCTTGTATTTAATAGGCCTGGGTTGCAGTATTTAAATTTACGTGGTGGTGGTCTTGATTTTCACTTTTTATGCAACAGGATGCGGAACTCAGGTTTAAACCACGAATGAATGAATCGATCGAGCGTGTTTAATTAGTAACTAAATATTCATTTTGTAACATTAACTACGGAAGTAGTTAACGCGTAAAATGAACAAGATGAAGATTGTACAGGAAATTTTTTATTGGTCGGCAAAATAAACGGAAAGTTCACGAGAACGCCATTATTGTCTGACCATGACAGGACCACTTCTCCTTAAGAAAGGACTGCCTATTATGGAGCTCGCGATTGCACTTGTGAAAGTTATGAAGTTGATTAAAAATCTGCCCGTAGAACTTGAAGCATTTATTATTATAAACTTTATACCGTATTTATAATTTATTTACGATATTTTTACTCCTGCGGGTATCACAGTATCCTATACTCGGAAACTTTTAATGCCAGTTTTATCGAGGTTCTCTATACATATAAAATAACGCTTTATAGAATCTTTATATAACATTTTTTATTATCAATATCCATCAGCCATGC